CCAAGCACGTGCTTGGTAAGCTGGTGCCTGGAGCCGGCCCTGCAGAGAACACCCACTCCCCCAGCCAGGACCGTAACCCTGTTACACTACTTTCACCTTCAAAGTGCTGGGAGACACACACCCCCTACCCCACCACAATCCCCGGCCAAACGACCACCGCCACTGCCTGAAGGCTGCTCAGGTTTGTCCCTTTCAAGTGCAAGGTGGCTCAAGCTTTCGCGGCTGCCCGGAGCCCGGCTCGTTCACACTCACCGATGTTCCTGTACTGGATCGCTATCCTTGTCCTTTCCGCAGTCAGAAGTTGGTCTAGGTTTGAAGCCATTCTGTCCATGTTCTCTACAACAGTCATAGGCCCTCTGATAATCTAAGAAACACAGTCATTTGTGAGATCTCCCTCTATCAAATGGTGCAGCTTACAACCAGTGTTGCCAACTCTCGTGTCTCATAATGTTCGGAGTTTTCAAAGCCTCAGCTCCAGGAGTCAGGTGATTACATGAAAATCTCAGTTTTCTATTTTCTTTTCCCTTTTTTAAAATAAGTACTCTTGCCCCACTGGCAGCAAAGAAAAGCTTTAAAATGTGAAACCTATTGGCTCAAAAAACCAACAGGCAAATAAACAGGATCTAACTTGCTTTTGGGGGCCTGTCTCCTGAGTTTTGAACACTTGGGGTGGTCTGTGCTGTAGAACACACACTCGCATCCCCTGAAACCTACTCACAAGGGAAAGAGCTGCCCGCAAGAAACTGAGCCATTACTTGAAGAGCTCCAAATTCACGGCCTGCTCCCAAGAGGTGCGAAGCATGTGGACCATCCTGCATATCACAAGTGTGACAGTGCTACATAACGTGGGCACTCGGAGCCTCGTGGCAACAGAACTCACACCTTCCCTGCAGAGGTCGCTTCCGCTCAAGCTAAAGGGGAATCTCTGGGAGTAGTAGTGGGTTTATGATGTAGCGGAGAAGTTCTCCAGGAGCAGGCTGTGCTGTGCACGTAACCCCTGGCCACTGCATGTACCCAGCCAGAGAGCTTGACGTTTGAGCTCATGCCGTGATCTCTGGAGGTCCCTGGTTCAATCCCCAGTGGATTGCCACGATGGTAGCTGTTACACATACACCCAGGAGGGGCCAGGTCATTACAATATACAGAAAGGGCTGGCCCGAGAGGACAAGATAAAAGCATCCAATGGAGAAGGCCCCCGCTTGGGGGACATGATGAAAATTTCTCACACAGGCTCTACAGTGTTTTGAACAGTTTGGGGTCTGGAAACAGACGCTGTCTTGGCATCTCATCTGCAAACATTACAACAATGCACTTTTAAAAAGCTAGCGCACAATCCCTGCCAGGCACAGCGGTGGGGGGAGCAAAGTGCCAGCAATCTGCCATGGACTGCGTTCACCCCACAGGGATCAGGCCCCTGACAGACAAGTGTCCTGGCGCTAGGCCAGCCGGCTTGAACAGGACAGAAGCCGAGGGGGGCTCCCAAGGGAACTTGCAAGGAGGGGGCAGCTTGGAGTTTTAGCAATGGACAGCAGCAAACGCCCGATCGCTGGAGCAAGCAGAGACTGCTGCAGGCGGATGTTTGATGTGCTGCCCCATGCTGCTTGACAGCATCAAAGTAGGAGTCATGGGTTTGCACCTTGAGACACAGCAGTTCCTGGCACTGGTGCTACTCTAGGGCAGGGCGAGACAGTTCAGAAATTATCTGATCCTCTCGCTGTCCCCCAAAATATTCACGCAGCTTTGGGGCCTGCAAAGGTTCAGAGCGCCTGGTTAATTCCTCCATAGACGCCTCCATCCCTGCCCCCTAATCATCTCATTTTCATGCTGTCTGTGCAATCCCAAGCTCCAGCCAGGGGCTGGACTGCAAGTGCCATGACATTGCCAGGAAGGCAGTTTGCATGAGACCCAGCGTGCCTACAATCTCTAGAGAGAGCCTTCTCTTCCCGTTCCAGCCAGCCCCAAACTCTAACCTTTGGAGGTTTGCCCCACACTAGGCCCACCCCCATGATTAGTCATCAGATCATTGTGAGCCAGTGAATCAAGGGACTGCAGACCCCAGCAGTACGGTCAGATGTGACACAAACCTAGTCTGCAGTGTCTGCAGACCACGCGGAGGCGAGGCAGGTAGCTGGGGTCATGCCTACATCACAAGCCTATTTCACCTGGCTGATTTCTGACCACTGGTCAGTATTTTGCTCCTCCAGGATCAGTCCAGTCACTTCCACATAATACTGGCTCAGCTGCTCCAGCATCTCCAGCTGTTCCTGCTCCTGGACTTCGACATCTGAAACTTGCTTTAGAAACTGGACCACGCCAAGCAGGTCAGCTGGTTTCACCGGGGTCTCCTCCTCCCGCAGGACGGTCGTCAGAGCATGGAGAACATTGACAGCTGCTGAGATGTTCACGTCTCTAACATCGCCCAAGAAAACATTCTCAGGAATCTGCCAAGGAAAAGCCTTTTACCCCAGAGCAGACCCCACCTCTGCCCAAAGACAAACAATGTGGAGTTAATTAAGGGCTATGGGTGATGCTCTGTGCCCACCCTCCAATACACGAGGAGGCTGCCCTGCCAGCCACCCATAAGCTATTAACCCGCAAGCTGGTGACTAGTGGAAAATGCCCCATGTGCAGGGAAGGGAGATCTGCCCCTGCTCTGCCACACGGGAGCATACGGGCGTTTGCTGAACTCAGCATGCAAACGAGGCCAGGAATCACTGCTGGCAACAGCTCCCCTGCTCACATTAACGGGTCCCCCAGATCAGGCCCTGTGCTGTGAAATGGACTCAGCTCATCAAAATGATACAAAGGTAAATATTTTAAAAGCCAGAAAAAGGTGGCGGGTCTATTCGTGAGGTTCCTCCCACTCCTGGAGTGCAGCACCAGAGGGGCCAAGGGCACATGGCTTCAGGCCGGGAGGACAAGAAACACGCACACGAATGAACGATGGCAGATCAAGTCGGCTCTGGCCTGCTCTCAGCATTAGGAACTCCCAGCAATGGAAGGTCCCGAGGGTCTGCGCTCTCCCGCACTCACCACGGTAGCATTTGCGAGGGTATTAACCCGACTGATCAGTGGTGGGCTGGATTCTGACTGGGTTTTCTTCAAGAGTAAATACACATCTGAGAATAACACAAAGACACAAGTGTTGCCGCGATCCCCAGTAAAGTCCCATTTTCAAGTGCCTGGACAGTAGCTCCTTGGGACTCACTGATGTGCTGGGAGGACAATCAGGACAAGCTGCCAGGACTTGGGGAGGTAATTTGTGCCTTTTGCCTTTGCTGCAAAGACACCCATTGGGGGACACCAAGAGCTGACATCTCAGCTGCTCAGCCAAACTTTTGATCTCTGTGACCTCCCCTCCCGCAGCCCATCTCCCCACCCAGAGATGCTTGGAGTTGATCTTACCCTACAGTGCTGTCACTGTAAGGGGACAATACCCAGGAGTCCTGCAATGTGCAGTGCAGACAACAGACAACTGAAACTGAAGATAAAAAAATTAAAATCTGTAAGGGCAGCAAGTGGGAGCATTCGGCCAGGACACACTTGGCCTGAGGCTGTGGCTACAGCACATTTTGACATTTATTTAATTTAGAAAGTTGAAAATGTTAGAGATTGTAGAAGATTAGACTGTAAACTCTTCAGGGCAGAGACTCTTCCTGGGTGTCTGTCTAGGGCCCGATCCTGGCCAGGACCCCTGGGAGCTACCACAATGGAAATAATAAATCAATCACGCTGTACCCTTCTTGTAGTGGCAGACAAAAGGCAAGGAATGCAAACAAGAAGTGTCACTGACTCCACCACTGCCAAAGTCCAGAACCCTGCATTGCTCCACAGGCCCTGGGGAGACACAAACAAGGCCCAAAATGCTGAGACATGCTAGGGTGACCAGATGTCCCAATTTTATAGGGACAGTCCCGATATTTGGGTCTTTCTTATATAGGCTCCTTTACCTCCCACTCCCTGTCCCAATTTTTCACACTTGCTGTCTGGTCACCCGTCTGCGCTGTCCCCCACCAGACGGGGGATTTTCACAAATGAGCCACAAACTTTGTTGAAGGCTGAAAATCACCAGTTGCTCCTTAAACAGCCCCACTGTTCTCCCATGCACAGCCTGGAGCATGCATTCCTTGTGCTGCTCCGTAACGTAGCTTCTCGGATGCCCACCCCAGACACACCACAAGGAGATAGAAATGCCAGGGCTTGAGTTCTGGGTTTGATTAGGAATTGTCAAGCTAGTTGGTGCTAAACAGCGCCGTTCGCTCAGGAGGATCCCGAAGCACTAGGAAGGTGATATACAGGGTCCAACAACAGTAATCAACTGATAACAGGGGAGCAAGCGTAGCCTGAGGCTATTTCGACACTACGCCGCTTTTAGCGACACAGCCGTACCTCTACAGCCGTGCCGCTAAAAGGCGCGCAGCGTAGCTGCTGTTTTGTCGGCAGGAGAGAGCTCTGCTGCCAACAAAAAACTTCCACCCCCACCGAGCGGTGTTAGCATTGTCGGCAGAGCGCTCTGTTCGCATGTTTATCTTTTTTGGGGGGTGGGGTGGGGAGTTAACAGCGCTCTGAACGACAAAAGTTTTGTCTTTCACTCTTGCCAGTGGAAACTAAGCCTAACTTCTCCAACTGAAACTAGCAGGGAAACATGGAGGAGGAAGAGTATCATTAACCCAGCGGGAATTTGCCCAGGACACTGGTGTTCATGATGGAAAGTGCCATGGAATCTTTAATGACCACAGATGAACAGGATCTCGGTCTTGGGTCTTATCTGGATGGTGACCCCCAGCACTCAAACCAACCCTCCTTTCCCTCCCCAAAACATTCCCAGCTATCCATCCTCCTGGTGCAAACCTCTCTTCCTGTGGGTGATGCTTACACCCACATGGAGGCCTGTCGTCCTCGGTACAGCTGCACCCGGCAGAACGGCGCTGCCTTTTGCTGATCTGCAGCTCAGAACCTAAGCTTGGAAAGCAAAGTGCGCCGGGCACCTGACGCCGGGAATGAGTCTCACCTGGGCAAAGGAACTGTGCTGTTACTTCTTGTACAGCGGGCTCGATCTCCAGAGTGTAGCTGCCCCACTCGAAGATAAGCTCATGGTCTATCAGGCAGCACGACCGGACTCTCTCTATCTGCTCTTCGCTAAGGACTCTACGCCACACATTCAGGTCAGTGATGTTCCCACTGAAGGACTCTTTCTCCTTGAAGGTGCCTCCTAGTGAATCCTGGTCTTGCCCAATAATAAAAGTTCCATGATCGTAAATAGCCTGGCTGGCCGGCGGCCCTGCAGCACACAGTCCAGCGGCAGAGGCCTTCTTCTTCCCATCGGCGTAGATGGCCCACGTCCCGTTCTGCTGCTGCCAGGTGACACAGAAGTGATGCCACTGCCCATCGCTGCGGAACACGGGCAGGTACGGGGAGTGGTGTCCGTGGACGATGATGGCAAATCGTACAAACCCTTCCTTGTCAACGAAGCCGCGCAGCTGGAACTCGTTAATGAAAGCAGGGACGGCATAGGAGAAGATGGTGGAAATCTCCTGGGTCTTGTTGTCCCACTGGATGTGGGCACAGGCGGTGACAGCAGGCATCACGGGGAAGTTGGCCAGCACCTTCACGTACTTAGTGTCTGTTTTGTTTCTGAACACCAGGATTGGTGCTGTGTGAATTCCTGGAAGGGGAACATTCAAAACTTCAGCCAAGACAGGGCAGGAACCTGGACCAAACCCTGCTCCCTCTCTCTGAGAGGCAACAATTTATTTTGTTTCATCCCCAAAAAGGCTAAAGACCGTTGATCCCAGCATACCACAATACCATAAATACATTCTTGAGGGTTCTCAGCTACTTCTAAAGGGGATGGTGCTGGCTACAGTGATGCCTGGAGAGGGAAGGGGAGTTTGACGCTAGAGCATTTCGGCAAACGCCACTTCTGGAAAGTGACACTTCCAGCAGCCAGGATGGTAAATAATGAATTTGGGATTAACTGCTCATCACCAATGGCATGTCTTCTGGAGGCAGAGCCTAGAGAAGACCTCCCCGATCACCCTACCCATGCTCAGCACAGTTGTGATACATGACTACCCAGCGCTGGATTGCTGCAGCCTACGCCCCCAGTCATATTACTTATATGATTACTTCTGCAGATATGTTCCAGGGGATACGTCCAGCAAAACCATCTTTGTCTGGATGCTGAGGTGGATCATAGAGTATTAGTCCACGACATCCCAGGGCATGAGATCCCCCCCTTAAAAACTCTCCTTTGCCAGGACACCTAAAAATAATTGGATACCAGTGAGACATCTGATGTTCCACAGCCTGGCCTGCTGACCAATACTCTCTCATTGTTTCCTTGTACTCCCCCTTCTCTCTGTGTCCATCTGTTGGGTCTTGTCTTATACTTAGATCGTAAGCTCCCTGGGGCAGGTTCGGTCCTTTTGGCTTGTGTCTGTACAGCACCTCGCGCAATGCGGCCCTGGTCCGTGCTAGGGCTCCTAGGCCCTACCACAACACAAATCACAAGAATAATTTTTCCAGACTAATAACTTCCCCTCACAATATCCAGACACACGTGTTTTGTAAAAGAAGGATCCGACCCTTGGGCCTTCCTAGGTTTCTTTGTCCCTGGCTAGGCCAGGCTAGCTGCCCCAATGCCCATCTTATACTCACGTCTCTGTTTGTGTTTTCGCAGGAATGCCTCCCTCTCGTCTAACCAGACAGAGCTTTGCCCTTGGTGGGGGCGCAGCAGTTCGCTGACCGACGCCAGCTCATTGTTCGGGAGCTCAAAGAGCAGCTGCGCAAAGCGTTGTTCGCAGTGTCTGTTCGCATGCCACCAGTCCAAGGGGATGTCCACGTATTCATAAACATCTCCCGAGGTCGCGACGGTGGCAGCAGCAGCACCAAAATCTGAAAGACAGACATGCAAGCTGGACCATTGCTACCCCATGCAGCACAGGAGCCAGTAGGACACATGCCGGTTTGCAGAAAGCACCAGAGCTGTGTCCTCATTCCCTGCCCATTCGCCCCTGGATGCAGGCGGCCTTCACATCAACAGCCTCAGTAATACGAACTACACGCTACACACCCGCTCCTGCCACCTGGGGTCAGCCTCGCGCAGCAGATCAGACATGCACTTGCAAACATGGGGTTTGCGCAGCCCTCGGAAAGTCAGAAGCAAAATCTCGCACCCGCACGCAGCACAAAGGGACATCGGCGAACAGGGACAGACTTTAGCGGGTTGCCTCGGGCCTAAGATGAGAGAGAGCTGAGAGCTGCGCTTTAGCACATGTCCCTGGAAGGGTTGGCTTTCCCCAGGCCCAGCCCTCAGACCTGATTCATCCGTAGGAAATACCCAAAACAGTGGCAATGTCAGGACAAAACAAAACACACTGCCGTTCACTGGAGGGATACACTTTAAGGCATCTTACTCAAACTCACTCAGGGACTTAAGGACAGAGCTTAGGCCCCGTTTTTCAGCTCCCTGCCCTTTCCATATTTGCAAGTGGCAATTTGCACTCACAAAATTGCTCCCACATTGTTTGCACCCACAAGTGCATCACAGGCACAAATATGAGCAGTTGGACAGCACTTACCTGATTTTCACCTGCTAATCTGGTAGTTAGCTGTACAAATACTAATATTTACACCTGCAATCAAATTTGGGTCCAAAAAACATTGGTCGCAATTTACAACCATATAAAAGGTGGGGAGGGGGGAAGAAACGTTAGCTCTTAGAGTCCCAAACGTATTTTCATAGATTCTTTAAGACTCAAGTGCTGATTAGGACACTAACCTTTTGAAGTGTGATTATCAGCAAGGGCAGTAAAGTCTAAGAGTTCTCTGGACAGGCTACCAATCTGCAAGAAATAACACCACACTGTGGGAGCAAGGTTTAGAGCAGTGGTCCCCAACCTTTTCGTGTGGCGGCTGCCGGACGACATGCTCCTTGGTGGCTAGGTCACCGGACAAACAGCCGCCAAGAAGCGGCAACGCCAGGAAGCATCGCCACCGAAATGCCGCCGAGAAACGGCAATGTCCAGAAGCACCGCCGCCGAAATGCTGCTGATTTTCGGCGGCTGCTTATCTGGCAGCCAGTAGGCAGGTGCACATAGATGCCCCGGCGGGCATCATGGTGCCCCCGGGCACCGCGTTGGGGACCCCTGGTTTATGGGTACGTTTACTGCTTAGTTTCCTGTTTAAGCCCATGGAATCTGATGTCTCTGCTCACACTGCACTGTTCTAGCAAGTTTTCCTTGTTATATACACATGTATATAAAGAACCTCTGAAAGTAAACGTTTCATAGCGAAATATCTCCTCCACACAGCTACATGGAATAATCAGGAAACTAGAAATATAACAATATCCATTGCTGAGGCTCTAAAAGCAAAGTCCTATTATTAAAGTACCTGAATCTGCCAAGTGAAATCTACCTCTTGCTGAAACACTGGAAGATGGAACCTACCAGAGCATGACCAGTAGGGAGGGATAGCTCAGTGGTTTGAGCATTGGCCTGCTAAACCCAGGGTTGTGAGTTCAATCCTTGAGGGGGCCACTTAGGGATCTGGGGCAGAAATCAGTACTTGGTCCTGCTAGTGAAGGCAGGGGGGCTGGACTCGATGACCTTTCAAGGTCCCTTCCAGTTCTAGGAGAGATATCTCCATTAACTTATCTCTGGATTGCGCCATCGGTAACAAGCCAATGACTAAATACATTGAACTATCAGAAAAGGTGTAGAAGGGTTCATTCATTTTATTTTAGGAGATTTATTCCAGTGTCACTCAGAATGACCTCACCTAGGACTCAGGCCCCGTGTTCCAACATCCTGACTATTCGGGAAATGTCTTTGGACAATTCCTAGCTGTTTTCAGCATTCAAATGATCCAGCTACTCAAAGCAATTAAGTCCTTGTAAAACTTACCAGAAAGCTGAGGAACCAGTACTCAGGTCTCGGGTGCCGTTGGACCATGTCGACTGGTTGGAAATCTTTCCTTCTCTGCTGGAATGGACAAAGCAGTGCTAGATAACGATGTCCTGCAGCTGTATAGCTAACTCTTGCATACAGAAACGGGGGGAAAGAGACTCAACAGAAAATATCCATCCTAGGTAGCCGGCTACAGATGAGATACCAGAAGCCGATAACTTTGCAGAAGCTGTATCATTAGTTCATAAGTCAGACGGTTCGTGAACCCTCCTTACCTGCTTTTAACCAACTCAAGTCAGAGGCATAAATTACATTTCTGAGCAGTGTCAAACGAGATCTTTGACAACGTTTCCAGGTAGGTGTGCTGGCCAGACAATGGGATCTTGTAAAGGTTCTGATAAGATGTAGCATAGGGACTAACCATCACAAATTGGTACAACCCTTACATTTTACAGGTGGGTAAACTGAGGTGCAGAGAGACTAAAGTGACTTGCTCACAACCACACAACAAATCAGCATTACAGTTAAGAGGAGAGAAGCCAAGAGCACTCTCAATCCCCTGCTTTTAACCACTAACCCTGTGGTGGTCCTGCACATACAAAATCTATTTCTCAATAGCCAATCCTTGGCACCTAGAGTCCCATGACAATGATACCACATGGAAATTTCGAAAGCTAGCTTTTCGAAAAGCAAGAGGGGGGGGTGACATTGCCCAAAGAGGAAGTGCTGATCCATTGGCAGTCAGAATTTAAAATACAAGCACTTGGAGACCACGTGAAAGAGACTCTGTTTCTAACTGAGCAGCCTGCAGGTCTGGAGGAACCAGACATTGTTAGCTGGCCAGGGGTGGAACACCCTCCTCCCCCTCCCGGCCCCCAGAAAGAAGGAAAAAGCACATTGACTGAGATGCTAAATGCTGGGAAGTCGAACAAAAGAACATTCAACGTGACCAGAGTCATGGGACTGCACAGAAGCAGTAGTGGATTTGGCACCATGGCGCCCGGCCCGCTCTTCTCCGCCCCCCACCCTCTCCTGCGGGGACAGAAGCTTGGTGCTGCCGGCTCCTGGGGTTTGGGCTGCGGCCGGGCAGGCTCCGCCCCCAGGCAAGCTCCTCTGAATTTTTTTTTTTATTTAAATTGGATTTTTGAGGGAAAAAACCTATCTAAAGATTGTATCTTAATTAAAACTACGTATCTCATCATGGAATAGGGATTACAAATTCTAATTCTATAGTATGAGAATATATTCATGTAATGTTTAAGAAGAGTTTTGTAAATGAGTTCTAATAGTTCATGGATTAGGGACCCAATCTTATAGGGTTCCAGGGGCTTCTGTATAGATTATTTAGGTTAATCTTTCTATCTACCCAATGGGACTCAGTGCTCAGTCTAGAAGATACCATCAGAGATGCTTAGTTTTGCAGTTCTCAAACTGTGGATTTGTGTCTCCAGAGGTAACATGCTTGTTAACAGCAAAAATGTTTTTAAATACATAAATAAATATATAGAGGTGAGAAATAACAGACCAACTCTATTGTCCCTCTGCAAATTTGTGTACACAGAGTCAATCCCTTACCTCTCTCTAAAAGTGCAAAGTTTCAAAAAGTTCAATGAATAGAAGATTGTTGGGGGCGGAATAGATCTGGACAAGGAGAAGAGTCTGGAGATAGAGGTGAGAAGTGAGGGACATATGCTTTTTTGTTAAAATATGTTTGCTGTTGAAGAAAAAAATCCAGAATACTTAACATTGTTTTAATTAAATAAAACAATTTAAATGTCTGTCTGGTGATGTTCTCCTCCTAATACAGCCTGGCAAGAAAATCCTCCAAATATTGATGATTAACCTGTTGAATTGGAGATAGATATTTATGAAGTCATTGGGAGGTGAACTGCTTCAATTATCTTTTGTAAATGAAATTACCAAACAATCATTCATTTTCTGATATAGCTGTAAAACTCATCTGAAAAGTTTTCAAAATAAATCACTGTTTAAAAATGTATAGTGTGTACCTTCTAAAAAATAAAACTTACATCTATCTCTGAGTTGTGAAGAATATGTATTAAGATTATAACAAGCAACAAGAATGCACTTTTATGTAGAAAACCATGATTAAATCATGTCTTCCTGACTCATGATTTAAATCAAATCCACCCTGCCCCCAGTGCTCTTGCCCCTGACCCCTTCATTCCCTGGGGGGGGGGGGGGCCGCCACAAATATGTTTGGAGCCAGGCCCACAAAAAGTTAATCCGGACTTGCACAGAAGAAAGAACTAGAGAAGATGACCATGTAGCAATGGGATGACTGACTATAATCAGCATTATGTCCACACGCCTTGCAAATATCACCAGTCCCCTGTGGCAAAGCAAATGAATACAAGGGAAAGCTAAGAGATGTCGATTGCACATTAGGACAGCGATGCTTTGCTTTAGTTTTATATTAACTTGTATCACAGACAAAGACAGATCTGAACATTTAAAAATCTGATTGAAAAACGATCTTCTTGTCCATTGGAAGGGAAAGTACAATAATATTATTTTACCTTCTCTAGTGCCCTTCACCCCAGCGTCACAAGGCCTTTTATCGGCAATGGATTGAACCTCCCAGCACATCCCTTAGGTAGGTGTTGGCTTCCCCAGGTGTAAAGCAGGAGGTGGAGAGTCAGAACCCAGGGTGGATCACGCCACACTTCCTTCTAAAACCATTTTCAATCTATGAAGAACGGGGCAGCTGTGCTCCTGGGACTGTGCATATCCTAAAGCCCAGGACGCAGCATGTGAGAGCTGGGGATAAAGTGTTCTTGGTCGAAGGGATCCAGCGGCAGATCCAGAGGAAATCAGGCCAATCCAGAGAGTCTGGTCATCTCTAGGAAACATTCCAAAGCCTTCCTCCTTGAGAAAGCCTTTCTAGCATAAGGAATGAACACCCCTTCTATTCCCAAACCCCTCCTGCTCCCCAAATAAACAACAAACGCCCTAGCACAGACTCCATTTAGTCTGCTAGTGACCGCCCCGTTTCTATGGAATTTATGCTACAGCGATGGGTGACGTGGATAATAAACCCCCTAGGTAGACAGTCGGGGCAGAGCCAGGAATGAAACCCAGACCTTCTGTTGCCTAGCGCTGTGCTTTAGCCTCCAGACCAAACTCCCTTCCTATAATAAAATGTGGCTGTTAAAGGAAAACTTCATGCTCCAAACCCAAACCAGCAAGATACCTGGTATTTTCCACCATCAACCCTTCGGGGGCCTAGAGGTTTAAATAATCTATTCTTCCCCCAACACTGTAACTAAGAACCAATTATTCTATCCCCTTCATGCAATAGTAATTCTTTCAGACCTAAACCGCACTGACACCGGTCACACACTAACTCTCTTCTTGCGCCAGGATTTCTTCATTTCACTGTAAATTATGTACAATCCATACCTGTCTGGTGGGTGATTCTGGCTCTGAGAGAGGTCTGGGGGCAGAATGATTCTGGGGTGCAAGATGGGGGGAAGGGAATTGCTTCCACAGGAGGGGTGTTGTGTGCAGGTTCAGCAGCTGGAAGGCTGATGTTGTATAAACACAATATCCGAGACCCGCAGGATGAATCTGTTAATTCTCACTCCAGGGAGAACGTTCATAACCTCCTCTCCCCACAAGGAGCCAGCCACGCACCCAAGCGACACAAAGCACTGAGCAGCTGGACTGTCAGCTGGTGGTTATGCTGAGACCACTTAACTCCCCGCAGGTCTCTGGGGGGACTGGAGCCAGTGCAGACCTGAGAATGAAGGCAATGGGCTGAACGACTGTTATAAAAGTTGGGGGAAGTTTTGCCTGTACAGACTTCCTGTCTCACTGCCCATGTGGATATTACACATCCACTTGCAAAGTTTTAAAAATCGTTTACTTAAATCAAACTCATCTTGTTTTGAGAGAAACTGGCTGATGCTGAAGAGATATTAGTCTGTTGAAACTGGACTTCGCACCAGATGCAAAAATAAGCGGCAAAGCACTTAAAAGGGTTTGATTTTAAAAAGCAGCACCGGTCCTTTGTGGCAGGAAGCGGATAGATAATCTTCCCCGGGTGTTACTTGGTGGCGTGTTATTCTGAAGAGTTTAATCATTTAATGTTGTATTTGAGTGGGTAAAACCCACAATTGTTGTGACTGGTTTTGTAAATCCACCTCCCCCCCAATCCCCCCCCAACTCCTCAAAGACACAGCCCAGGGCAACCAGCTCCTCAACCGCATCAAATAACCGGCCAGACAACTCCGGGTGGTACCCGGCTCCACACCACTGCCCCCATTTCAGGAGTCGGATGGGTCTCGCGTACCCCCAAGTTCCACCTCACCACAAACCGTCTTGCTTTCCCCATCAGCCCAACATACCGCTGGGTCACAGCCACGACGACTGAAAATTTGCTCTCTCATTTGACCAGCTCGTTACCAAATAAAATCAACTGGACTATAAACGCTGGACCTGCCGCTCAGCCTGCGGCGCACAGAGCGGGATAAACCGGCCATTGATGAACTTCTAGCCCGTCCGCACTTCGCGGGCGCTTTGTGCGCAGCCTCTTGGGAGACGGGGCCGATCTGCAGATGAGCTGGTGTCCCCCGGCTGGGAACCTGCCCCAGGGGCCGCAGGCGGCTCACCCCGGCGGGGCTTTCCGCTCAGCCCGCCCGGCTCGGACCCGGGCAGCGGCTCCAGCGCGCCGGTCCCGTCCCCGGAAAGCTGCCGCCTCCCTGCGCGCCCACCTCCACCTCCACCGCCCGGCCCCGGCAGCGCCCCGCGCCCGGCTCCTACCGTCCGACGGCCCCGGGCTCACGCCGGCCCCGGGGCGCGGGGCGCTGCTGTCCGCATGGCCTCGGCTGGAGGGGACGCGCCGGCCCCGAGCCCGCGGCAGAGGCGGCTCCGGACGGGCCATTCACATGCAAATCGCAGCCGGGTGCGTAACCACCGCCCCACTCGGCCCCTTGGCGAGCTGCCGTCGGGGGAGGGGGCCGCTGGCCCCTGCTCCAGCCCAGGCGAGTAACCTGACCGCTCCCTCGGCTGCCAGCTCCAGCTCCGCGCCCCTCCTCGGGCTGGTCACTCCCCTCTTACCTCCTTGGAGCCCCCGGCTGGAGCCCAGCTGCTGGAGGAAGGAGCAACAGCAGGATGAGCCCAGGGCACAGGGGGGCTGGCCCCAGCCAGCTCCTGCCTGCAGCAGGAGTGGGCCCTAAGGACAGCTGGCTAGGAGGGGGCTGCTTGCCTTCCACCTCAGCCCAGGGCCTGGGGGCTAGCTGCTGGGGTGGTGGTAAGGGAGAGGGTCAGTGTTTCTCAAGGACCAATCTGTAGACCAGCATCAGGCCCTCAGTGCTCCCTGAGAATTTAGGAAGGCACCAAGCCAGACCCTGGTATCAGAGCGGTTGAGAAACAGGGATAAATGCTTCTCCAAAACTAGCCTAGAGAGGCCTGTACCTCCCCACAAGGCTGGGCCCAATAGGACATCCCACGCTGTGGCACCCACCTGTCTAACCAACTTTGCCCTTCTACATCCTACTAAAGACTTCCAGGCCTCCAGTGTTTTCACCCCACACCCAGCACCACAGGAGCAAACTAAACGCAGCCGTCACAGCCCAGGGGAGTTTCTCCAAATCTGTTTATTTTACATTAGAGCAGAATACAAAGCGTCGGCTTTTTAGTATTAAAAGTTTGGGAAGCACGGACAAGTCAATTTGAAACCTTTTGGACAGCAACAGTAGAGGGACATGATTTGGCCAAACAAACTATGCTCTAACAAAACTAATTAAATTCTTTTTAACAAGAAACAAAAGGAGAGAGAGATACAAGTAGTGTTGCTAATGTACATCAACATAGTCAGGCCTCTCTACCTAATACTTTACAAGCAGTTTATGCCACCACAGACACCCATGAAAGAGGGGAGATCATTAAGGTAATTACATGCCTGAATGTAAACACTTTTTTTTTAAAAATTAAAGCTGGGCTGTGACTGTGCTCCCAAAATACACAAGTTATTTAATTTCAGTTATAACTATTAGCGTTTCACCACTCTGTAATCAAATGAGTAAAACAGATATTGAATGCCTAGGGCCTTACCGATCAGAACAAGGCTTATAAAGGTTCCCAGGTAGGACAACATATGAAGTGCTGTTGTGATTTTCAAAGCCACATTCCCACAACGGTCCCTGGAGCAGGGAACCTGGAGGCAGGATTTTAAGACTAGAGTATTTGGCCCACCTCCACAGTGCCCCAGCATTCTTAGCTTCAAGGGAGAGGTTCTCTTTTGATTAATGCTTGATTCAGCTTTGCTACAGCAACACGCACATAGTTCCCACTCCTCCCCCGTAAGTGAATGCTTGAGTCAGGCCCTGGATTCATGGGCAACTGCCTTTTGTTCTTCAGGGCCTCCATCCCCAAACGAAGGCAATTATCAGACCCCAGTCTCTGCGCTAGTTGCAATAAATCTCTAGCAGAAGAATGGATCTGGGAGGCAGCTGCTTCGGTCTGCTTAGTCACCACTGCCAGTTGGTAAACTGACTGATGAGGAGATTTGGCATGAGCAGCGCTGCACAAAGCATCAAAAGTCTTGGCAAGCAGCACAGCAGTTTTGGAGAAGGTCTCTGTGGCTTGCTTCAGCTTTGCTAGGTCTGGGTCCTGGTCCGCTGTGAGGAGCAGGGGAGGTGGTCAGAGCCAAAACCAAAAAAAGTTCAGATTGCATCTTTCATCAAGTATTTAACGGTGTGCTTTCCTACTTACAATGAGGCCATTAGGACTTCCACAGCACTTCACTAGCTAGAGAACTTTGCAAAACCATTAAATAGTTCTAACACCCAACTCAGGAGGTAAGTGTTCCCTATATACCCAGGTGTAAAATGAGGTTAAACAAATTTTCCTAAAAGCAGAGTGCTAGACACTGGTACAGCCAGAATTGAGAGGCAGGTGTCCTGACTTTGTGCTGGCCTGAGTTGTGCTGGTTATAATATGAAACTATACCCATATTTCAACCCCCTCATGAGATATGGATCTAGTACCCACCTTTTACAGATGGGGAAAGAGGGGGGAAAAGCAGTCCTCGATGAGTACTGCCCTCCACCCACCTACATGAATTTACAGTGGTGCAGTTTAAAGAACCAAAACAAAGATGTGTAACAGAACAACACGCAAGGTTTCCTGAACACACTTGGCTCTTTGAAGACAGTTTAGCTGTGGAATCAGTTAACTCTTGGGCTGAAAATCTTTCAGAGTTGTGTGCCAACATGTTTCACTCTAAATATTTTAAACAGTAGCTGGTCCTAGTGAGGATCAGGGAAAGATCCAATTACTTATGTTCAGAAGCTGCATTTGCCTGAAGCATGCAGTTACAACTGCAGGCACGACCACCCAGCAATCTGAAGACCATCTCCAAACAGACCAGACAAGAGTAAGAGGAGTAAATATGCATTACCTTTCAGACACTGCAAAGCAATTGTAGAGGCCTGTTTCCAAGCCACCTGGAGAGCATTCAAGTCACAGCTTAAAGTTTTATAACAGGAAAGACGCTCTTGGAAACTCAGACTTGGAGGTTTTTCTGACTTCTGTTTTTTGAGAGATTCAAATTCCCTCTAAGTAAAAAATAAAAAGACTTATTAGCTAGACTAGAAACCTGTTCTCACCCCTTCCCTGCTAGTTAGCGATTTCCCTGAATTCTGGGCTATTCTTGCTTATATTCCAAGAGGCATCTCCGCAGAGGCTGGGGAGGAGCAATCACTTGGAGTGTAAGTTAGTGAAGCAGGCGTCTGTCTTCCCATGAGGCAGGCTCCTCAACAAAGCAGCAGCTCCACAGAGTGCCTTGGACACAACAAAAGAGGTACTTTATAAAACACCTTGACTGAATGTCAGTCTGGCAAGCTAGACAAGTGTCAGTGCCACAAGAGTTCTCAGCCAGAGAAGTTACCATGGGACTTCAGTGAACAACCCTTCTTTTACCATGCCCAACCGATGGAGATTATACCAAGAACTGCACAGCCCCTGCCCTTCCCACATACACTCACCCAGAATATTTTGCATTTCTCCATAAAACACTGCAGAGAGCTTCCAACTGAGAGGAGCTGTCTTCTGACTTCTTCTGCCAGCTAAAAAGGAGAAAAGATAAGCAAGCACAGGAAGTGTCTCTTGGGGCACCAAGCAGTAGGCATCATTGTGAGTGAGAGCATGCACCGCTGTATGGGAGACGGTGGGCACTGGCTCAGAGTCAAGGTCTTAGTCTGGTACGCTGGACACCCTGCTGTAGAGACAGACCCACTGGTGAAGAGAACATGGGGAGCAATATCAGGGCAGGCTGTAGGATTTGAGACCTCTATCTCCCCACTTCATGGGGGCAGGGGGAGGAGAGAATAAACGTGAGCAGATTCCTCTATCCCCAGATAACCAAGAGCAAAGTCAGCAAGGGGAGACTGCACTGACTGGTGCGTCCTGTAGGTTTGCCTTAAACTAGAGCACCAGTCAGTGCAGGGTCAGACTCTCTGCCACAGTAAGCACCGGATGGTCCCAGAAGTGTGCCTTTATCCACCACCTTGTAAGCCAACTCTGCACGTGAATTCCCCTCTCCCCAATTAAAATGGAACACTGCAGTCCATTTCCCATGCAGGGAGCAGCAGAATCCCGGCCAGCCATTCAGGGACACCTGAGAAGAGGGATGAGTCTCTACACAAATGATGAACCTACGTGTAAACAGTAGTCAAGCCATCAGTACATCTTCTCTCATGAGGCAGTTATAAGTTCAGGAGGCATTCTAAGGCACCCACTGTCTCCCGATGGTCTTATTCCTACTTACACAGTCAGCTGTGATACGGACACAGCCGGATGACTCAAAATGTTTTGTGACACCTGACGGTTTGCAGTTAATGGTGGAATGATGGAGCAAGCTGTGCTGGGGACTCTGGGGGAGTAACCAACCTTGGGTTTGCTTCTATTTAAGTATTTTCAAGCCAGCTAAACATCGGATTACATGGGATCAATTTAAAAAGCCGATATTAGTTTTCAGAGGAATTATACCATATTATAGCAAGAGTTCTTGATCGCACACCATCACCACAGCTTGCAAATCTTTACACCGCTTCAGAGCGGAGCTTCTCATTTACAGGGCAGTGACATCTGTATGCTCAACACACTCAGCAAATATTTGCCAGATCAAGTAGGAAGCAGTGTTTGTAAATGAGATGCAGAGGTGAACACGCTCCCTTGCTTTGTTGCATTAGGTCACTTTGCAGCTCACTGCCTCGTAAAGTTAAATGACAGGTTTCAGAGTAGCAGCCGTGTTAGTCTGTATCCGCAAAAAGAAGAACAGGAGTACTTGTGGCACCTTAGAGACTAAGCTTCCGAAGAAGTGGGCTGTAGTCCACGAAAGCTTATGCTCTAATAAATTTGTTAGTCTCTAAGGTGCCACAAGTACTCCTGTTCTTTTTTCGTAAAGTTAAAGTTTCCCCCAGCCCAGTAGGGGGGTGTTATACCACTGCAGTATTTGTTTTTGCCCCGCCTCCTACTGCGCCTGGCTGACCTCCACTGCGTTTCCCCTCAAGTTTTGTTTGAAAGCTTTGCACAGATAGCGAGAGTGTCTACCAAGTCTTCCCATAGAGGGCATTCGCAATTACTGCGGTTAAAACTGCAACCCTTCCGACACACCCCTACAACAGAGCACTTTGCTCGCCAGCTTTATTGCCGCAGCAGCTATTCTACAATAGCCTCCACACCTGGAAAGTTCCATTACCTGCTTTCCTGAAGACAAGTTCTGGTGCTGCAGGTCCAGGAGTTCCTCTGTGTTCTTATCGATCTGCATACCAATATAGCTCTCTGCCCCTCCAGTGACTGCCTCAGTCACATTGGTTGGGAGGAACTGAAACCACAAACATTCCATCCTAGTGAAATGTCATCGGACTGTGAGCATTGCCTATTTCACAAAGCATTCTGGGAGGGACAACTCAGAGCTGGGCTTATTCACTGCTGTGGAATCCATTGATGGATACTGCTGGGGCAGGGGCTGTTGGGGTGGCTGGTTGCCAGGATGCAAGAATAGGAATTGAAGCCTACATTTCCCTCAAGCTCAGTCACTTCCCTCCCATCCCCATTGCAAGCCACAAGAGGAGACAGATCAACTCCTCAGGACCAAAATTCTCAGCCATTCCTGCCCCCCACCAGACCCCTCAGCAGTCAAAGCCTGCAGAGCTGCCATCAACACAACTCTTGCCAATGCATATCTGCATTGTAATCTGCCCATTAAAGTCTCCAGCACACTGAAAAAAATGAGCATTTTGGGTACAACATAAGCTGGATTTCAGATCTTGCTATGAGCAGGAATACTGGGCTACTCATAGTATTGTTAACCTGGGCATTTAATTCTATTAAAAAAAGCCCATCACCATCACTTGTGAGATCAATCCATTGCAGAGATTCCACTTTGCCACAGAAACCGGGGAGCTTACTGCAGAGAGTTCAGTTCCAGCCAGCTAGAAGGTACACCAGGCCTGGTTTCTATCCCAGCTGAACCCCCGGTCTGAGTAGGCATGTGTGGCAGAGAAGCTTTCGAAGATGAGAGTTCATCAGTATTCAAAGAGTGTTTGGCAAATATTTGGACTTGGACAGCTTTTTTTTTGGTAGTGTAGCGAACTGTTTGTCAAGCAGTAGAATGCCCAGCTCCCAAGGAGGTTCCCACAATCCCAGGGAGCAATTAGAGAGCATAGGAGGCTCTGAACTATCAGCCCTGGATGGGGCTCTCATCAACCAGCCTCTCACAGACAGGGAGCAGCGTCAGCATCTGTGGAAGCAGCATTTTGATTGACAACTGGACAGTCATCCCCACCTCCCCCCGGCAAAAGTTCAGCCTCACCTCAGTTCGTTCAAGATTGGCTTCCGGCCCCACAGCAACCATTAGCCGGCCGAGCCAGCTAGCAACAGCGATCACTGACTGCTCAATTTGCTCCTTGGATTCCAGGATCATGGATGTAATTTCACATTCACAGCCCTGCAGAAGGGAGGCAAGGCGGCCAGCAGCACATGTTCAAGTTGACTCTCTCTAGATTTCATTACAAGCACCATCTTTACAGTGCATGCTTAGCACAGCGAGGCTTTTACAGACAGACACTAGATCAGTAGAGCCTCAGGTTTACATGCATTTTCTAGGCAGAGCCATTCTTGCAGGCTGCTTGTGTTGCCAGATAGAGTGGGGACAGTTCTGTTATTCTCGCCCATCCCCCATTTCAGCTCTCATTAGACAGATTATTTCTTAGCAGCACAACGCACACATAGGCGATGCCTCACCGCTGAGGACAACTGGAGCAAGGATTGAGGCACGTTATAGCCTTAAGTAACAAGCCAGAAAAGGACTAATCAGCAGATCAGCAACTCTGAGTCAGGGCCACCCCTATAGCCTGGTTCTCTGCGCTCTGCACGGGTCCAGGATTCTGTGGACCTGGTTCCAGTCAAATCAGGCACTATGGAGGCTGTGCGCTTTGACTCAGCTCCTGGCAAGGAGGAGGGGGCTACAAGGAATCAGAGAGAGACGCCCCTCTGGTCAGATCAGGAGCAGCATTAAGAACTCCCAGAAGGGAGGCTGGACTGAGTAGGTTTGAAGTTGTCAGGTGTCCTGGCACCTCTCCAGCCTTCCCCTGTACAATCCTCAGGCTGAGAATTCAGAATGCAGAAGTTCAGGACTTCCTGCCTGGTTCTCTGCACCATAGTACAGGCTCCGTCACAGGCTCCTGCCTCCAATGGATGGCAAGAGCTAGGGAGGTGAACAGGTCCAGCAGAGATGTACAGAATCCAGGGTCACCACCACTTAAGTCTATCCTCCCATGGGAGCCAAGCTCCCAACTACCAAAAGGACAGGACAAAGTTATTAAGCGAGTAGTGGTGGCAACATTAAGAGTTTCTGCAGTCACCTTGCTGGTATTTGAGGCCCCACATCCTGTGAAGCAAGTGGTTCAGTTAAACATAATGCAAGAGGACTTCTCATGCAACAGCTGCTGCCCGTTCACCAGCTTCTCCTCCTCATTACAAGGTTAGGAAAGTCCATCACCATGGTCAGGCAATGGAATGGCCTTTCACAGGAGTTCAAAGGGACAGCGACTTACGTTCAGCAGGAAGGCAACATTCCCACCAAGCTTCTTCACTTCAGCCTCTAGATGGTCCTTCAGAGCACCAGATCCAGGAACACAGGTCTCCAAAAGCCTGACACAGATTGCTAGCTGATCTATTGCGGAGGAAACCTTGATGCAGTGGGGCTGGATGCTGCGATCATCAGACACTGGGAAGGGTGGAAAGGAAGGAAGGGGGATCCCTATGTTAAAGGGTGAGAAAAGCCTGGGAGAGGTTCTGGAGTGACCAGGCAGACACCATCCAGCTGCTGGTGTAAACATGACTCAGCCAGCACTTACCCATAGCAGTGTTGTAGACACACTGTTCGCAGGCTTGAGCAATGGCTGCACTGGAGTCTAGTACTGCTTTCAGATCCAGCAGCATCTTTAAGAGGAGGCTGCCAGATTCCTCCTCCTTTCCAAGAGCCTCCATTGCTGAATCAATCAGCATTTTGCAGACAGCAGCACAGCTGGCATTTTGAACGGGAGCGTCCAGAGGCGCTGGGGCATTAGGCAAAAGAGGAAAAACCCCTCAACATGCTGTTTTGTACCTGCACTAGAGGTAGCTGGACGAAACCTGGAGAGCAGTCTAACAGACATGTTCTTCGTTGAGAGGGACTGAAAAAAAGTCACCCCAAGGAGAGAACTGAAGGGTTTGAACCTCCCCCACCCCAAATAAGCAATTGAATCAACTGATTGTCAATGTTATTGTGTATAAAAGTGTAGGGCTGAGGGCATGCTGGGAAGCTGTTCAGGGGCAGTAGGAAATGGAATTTAGCCAACAGAAGAGTGCAAACTCAGGCGTTATGCCTTTATATTTATTTTCTGTGTAACTTGTGTTTGCTTTCCCTCACTATTTCATCTTTGAAGCTATGATTTTTCTATTAAATAAACTGTTTGTTTTTACCTCAAGCAGGTCTGTTGTACAAGCTGTGTGGAGGGTTTGCACCAGTGAACTGACAATTGAGGGCAGGTTTCCCACCTTTGGGGTGACAAACCAGAGGGGAAGTCTGAATGGTATCTAAGAACTTGAGGAGACAGATTTGGGGGGCCCTCATGACCAGAAGGGATTTTGAGGTCACCCTGAAAGTAGTAACTAGGCTAATGGAAGCCAGGGAGGGACCTTATGTCAGCTGGCTACTGGTGTCAGAGCACTGAACCGTAGCATGAAGACACCCAAAGTTACACGGCAGGCAGTGACAGATCCGCCCCCCCATTGGTCTGGGCGCTCCCAGAAACATATAGGAACTATAGCTGGCATTTCTCTCTATTTTTTAAGTTTAGTATCCTAACTTCAGAATGACTCAGTCTGGGTAGGGGGGGAAAATAGAGCAGCACGCCTCACCTAGCCAAGATAGTTCTTTCAGCCAACGTCTGAAAATAATCACCCCCTACTTCAGACTCCAAAGTGGGTGACAGGCTCCATGTGTAGCCAGTAGGAAGCATGGGTTACTTGTGCAGTTACTGCCCAGCGCCATTTTCATTAATAGGAACCAAATCTTTTCCTTCTGTTGGAGAAGGAATAAGGAGCAGTTTGATCGGATTGCCCTAATTTTTTTAACCCTATTTTGATAAGCGCAAAAAACAGAACCAGACCCTGCTAGTTCATCATTACATCTAATACGGCTGGGTTATTGATTTTAAGCAGCATTAGCACAGAAGAGGTATCCAGTGGTGTATAACAAGCCTACTTACCTTTCCCCAGTAGCTTTCCTGATGTCTGACGGCTGAGAGGACTCCTGCCCCTGACAGAAAACAAGGAATTTGAGATTAGCTGGCCAAGCTGCCTGCATCCTTGTGGGGGTCCCCCCCCCCCGCAAAGAAAGAGATCTACTCCACAAGGGTTAAAGCATAGATGGGATGCTGATACCTCTTTTCGATGTAATGGGATTACACCCAGTGGCTCAAGGGGCCACCCCCTGGCCTATGGGGCTCTAAGCAGCATGAAGATAGATTCACATATGCTTCTCCCCAGCCCTTCCTTACCGTTTTGTTTCCTAGGAGGGCCATTAGGAGCTATTCTGCACCACTTGCAGAAAGATGGGAAACTGGACTTGGCTCCAAAGAATTTAAGCCCCATTCTTTGGCAGCACAAAGAGCAGAGAAAAGGTTCTTAGATTTCTTACCTGGAGAACTTCAGGCTTGTGACTTAAACCCAGAAGGTAACTGGGCCCAGTGCCAGGTGCATTAGCTTGAGCCTACAAAGTCTTAAAATTCTTTGAGTTATCAAGTACCTCAGAGACCTTCCTTTATGCTGTAAGCCCATGGCAGTGGAGCTCAGACAGGCTGCCCAAGCTAACTGCATTGCACTGTAGAGGTCAGGAAGGGTGAGACACCTGGGGAAGTTGCCCCCACCACCCCCCACTTGGTTCGCCAGGGAGAGACATTTGTTAACGTTCAAGTCAAGCTGCGAGCTCTATTTGTTCTGTGAAGTTCTTTCTAGGAGTCAGGGTGAGCTGAGTGCCCAGAACTGGGTCACGGGAAATTCGGTGCTTGCAGGAGAAGGGGGGGGGGGTGATTGGAGTGCAGGAGGGTTTATGTGCTGGTTCACTTTGAAGTTCAGCCATCCATTTAGAGCACTGGGGCAGCACATTTTAAACAGAATTGTGCAAATGTTAATTCCATGGGCTATCTGCATATCGTGTCTAGTTCCCAGACCTTCACATTAGTAAATGTGTTGTGTTTTGTAACTAAACTCACACAGAGACTTTAAATGCTGAACAGTGTTCCCCCCATTCCCCTTGATGCGTTCAGAGCACCGTAGAAAGATTTTTATACATTTAAGTCTCGCTGCAGGTTGTATTTAGACACTGACTGAGGGCAGTAGTTGGAGGAACTGTAACCAAAGTTACATTTGATACAAATCCTATTTGATGTATATTTTGGATGAGCCACATTGCACCCAGCTGACTGCTCAGTTGAGGAGACATTCCTTCCTTTCCCAGGTGCAGATTCAGTGTTGCTGGTTCTATTCCAATGCTAGCCTGTGTCCTAGGCTCATTTGAAGAGTCAACTTTGACCATTTTTTTTTCTGAATGCCTAAAACAAACCTTGCTGAGACTGTTTAACAAGCTCCTGTAGACATGCCAGGCTTAATCTTGCTCTTCCAGACTCTTCGTATTGTCCAGACTGAAAGCTCAACACAGAGCCTCTTCCATTAATTGCCAGTTTTATATTTTCCAGTGACAGGCATATTGTCTGCAGGAACAGACTCAATTGTGTCCCTGCGCAGTAGGACACCAGCTGCTGATATTACAGAGCCTTTCGAGGGAGTCTGGGCAAGGCTCCTATTTAGTGCTATCGTCTATAACAAATCAGAGTAACCTAGGAACTTTTAGTAGAAAAAATAGGAGCCGGAGCCATTATTCTTCTTATTCAGTGACTCTCACGCCACTGACTATTCCTGTCTACCATCCACCCAGCACTCAGACGGGCCATTTGGTTCTATTCCCGGACACCCCTCCTTCCTCCACCTTCACTCCATGCAGACAAGTCCCTCCCACACACCCTATCCCTTTTCTCTTCCCCCACCCCCCCATCAGTTTCTCCTAAAAGGATTTGGCTGGTTTAGCCAGTCACCCACATCACATCCAGACTGGCTGTTGAACAGAGTTGGGAAAGGCTGTTTAAAGCTGGATATCAAGGTTCTCACTAAGCCCATTGCTGGTCCAGGGCTAGCCAGTGCAAGGATTAGACAGGCCCCAAGAGCCCAAAGCTGAGCACTCCCTGCACTTCAACAGGATTTCAAGCCCCTTTAAGCTGGATTCTGCAAGCAGTGTCCACTAGCCTCGAGGTAGTTGTCCAAGGGGCACTGTGGTGACTGAGGGCTGGTCAGCACAGATCTCAGCCATGTCCTTCAGTTGTTGGTTTTCAGAATAATGTTTCCAACAGAGTTTGACCCAGGCAATGCTATGCTAAAAGCTGGTTTAGCTGCAGCCGAGTTTACGTATGGTCCTTGATTCCAGCCCCACATGGATGGGGCCACATTTGCTACATCTTCCTTACTACCCCAGGAACAGTGGACTCTGCAGACCATTCCTTCTGGCTTGTAAGGATATATAACAGAGGCGGACCAGGTTCCCAACAGCAGGCAGTGTCCAGATTATCTAGACAGTCAGAGTTCCCTCTGATGCACTGGATCACACCTAGTGGTAGAGTACGAACCCCCCCCCCCTCAACAAAAGGGTTCAGAAAATCCTCTCTCTTCCATTCCAATTGAAATTCTAGCTTGTGTCCTAATCACCATGCTATGAAGTGCTATCAGAGCCATAGGTCTTGATCTGTTTGAAAAGCTGACACCAGTGGTTCCCTCTCACCCAATGTCTGGAGGCAGCTCAGCATCTTGTGACTGTCCTGGAACAGCGAGGAGTTCCTGCCATGGACTGTCTAGCCATTCCCTAAGGCTTTGTGGGAAACCCACCTGCAGGAGGATACACACCTATTAATTCTAACGGCGGCAAATGAAGTAGCTAGAGTTGGTTGCTATTTGTGCAAGGCAGACATTTGCTTGCCATCAAGCACTGGTTACAGGCAGGGATGCAAACAACCCCCCCATAGTGAGTGCCATCTTAAAGGGACACAGTCAGATTGGTTTACAAAACTAAGTGTTGGGCTTCAACCAACCAGTCCCAATGTGCCAGATGGTTCTGTCACTGTGAGCGGTTTCATGGTTCAAGGACTGGTCAGCTTCCTGGGACAGAGAGAGGAGTGTGGTACGTTTTGGGAAGCCTGAACCAGCACAGGACTCCAGGGCGGAGTCCATGACAGCTGGCCACGCCTCCCCTTCAGCTCCCAGCCACAGTCAAGGCAGACAGTGGACATCAGGTAAGCAAAGCCAGGGATGCAATATCCAGAACCCTAAGTGGCTCTGTTAGCCTTCGTTGGGAAATGAGAGGGGCCCTTGTGCTCACTGAAGGGGAGAAGGCAAGAGAAAGCTGGACTGGAGCAGACCATTCTCATCACCAAGATATCAGACAGCTTCTGCTCCTGTCCTTCGGGCCACTTGGTCGAAGGTCAAATAGGCCTCGCCCACCGGTGCGGTTAGCGAACGAGAACCAGGAGGCGAAGCCTGCCAAGCCAGCTGAACTACTGCACGTGCAAGAGTAAAAGGTGCATTAATGGTGAAGACCAGAATCCAGTTACTGGCACAGGGGAGGCATCTGCGATTGGGATATTAACCGTGTAGAGAAACGCTGCTGATCAGGCCCATTTCTATTGTTTTGGCCAGTAGCAAGTAGATTCATTCCAGCAGTACTGGGAGTTAGCGACTAACTGTTAGAGTCTTCTTTAAATACCCAGTCTTGAACTTCAAAAGAAATCTTAATGTATAAGTGTTTTCCTGCTCCCCTGCTGATGTTCACAAGAGTCTTTTCAACAAGGGGAAAAAAGTGGCCAGCAACCCAGGGGAAGAGTGAAATTGGCTACACACGAGTGCTGTCAAATGCCAAAGTGCACTAAATAGGAAAAGAATGCGTCTTTATTTATCTTTTCAATTTCACTAACCCTGCATTACTTGTAACTAGAGCAGCCACAACATTCAGACAGAATTTGATGTGCCACTTTCATCTTTGTTTCATAGAGACAGTAAACCTGGGCAGGTCTCACTACAGGACTAAAGCACTAATGCTGTGGGACTCCTCCTGTCTGCCTGTACCTGCTAGGTGATGGAGGTTTCACAACTGCTTCCCAGGTACCAGTCAGATCATAAAAGAGGCTATCTCCGTTGCCATCATAGGATCCCTGAGGAGGAGATGGGAAGCATTTAATACATTTGAAACCTCAATAAAATACACCTAAAATTGGAGAGAGAGAGAGAGAGAGAGAGAGAAACAACCTTTGAATGAACAAAAAATACTGGAAGATGTGCCCTCTGTTCTGCAGGGTAAGCACTTGCCAATAGGTAGCATTTTCCTCTGCAAAAAAGTCACATTAGGAAATAAGGGGGAAAATGGAGGCCAGACCTGTTGAAGCACTAGACACGAACCTGGGGAGACCAGTGATGCTTCAGCCTTTGGTCAAGGGGGGAGAACATGAGCAGGGTAGATCTGCCCCCACCCTGAGCATAGCCAGGTGCACCAAGGTATGACACTAGTTTGAACTCTTGGTTTTCCTCATGTCATTATTAGCCAGAGGGGTAATTTTGCCTTATTTATTGGTATCAGAACATACATTATTTCCCCCTTAATCTCACATTCTGGTGGCTTTTAGCAGCTTTCCTGGGCTCAGACCAGCTATTGCAGGAGCACTGCTTAGGAAAAACGTTTGGTTTTGACAGCCATTTTTAGAGAAGGGGATTCTTGTTCATCTGAGTCTGGGCTTTCAGTCTCCACAAAACTGCTCTCCTTTTATTGCATCTCCAGCAGCTTGTAAGGTAGATGTGCCAGACATGGCACTTTTACATCTCCTAGGACCTTCGGGAGTGCCTACGAGAGCCAGGATTGGATATCCAAGCACTCATTACACAGGTGCGACAATCGCGTGAAGTGTCTGCACCAACTTTTAGTGACAAAGTTTAAACAATAATTGTAGGGAAACATTGAGAGTTTCCTCTCCTCCCTGCCCATTTCCCCCTTTTATTCAAGCAGTCAGTGTCCACTGAGATTCCTCACAGTGCATGGGCAGATCTCCAGCAACAGTAGCATTACTAATTTAACAGGAGATCCCTCATTAACAAAACAAAGTAGTCCAGGTAAAATTTAGCTTGGTCTCAATGCTGAGGCTTTTTGATTTGCCTGTCCTGCAGAAGGGATAGTTAGTCTGCCGTCTCCACGAACAGCTCTACATCCCTCTTAGGGGACAGACTAGCAGTAGTACTGAAGAGTAGGAAGGCTGCAGACCCAGAAGATCTGCAGAAGACTCAGTTTCAACACTAACATCTCAGGCTGGCCATGTTACAACATTTTGCAGTCTCCATTGCCCTGGGTGGGATGGCTGCACACCATGAGAGCACAAAGCCACATTTCCCGACGCTTGCTTGTGCCATGGCACAAGAGAGTCTGGAGTTGGAGTGAGTTTTTTCAGAATCCCCAAGTTACCTGGCTTCCTTCAATGGCTTATCTTGCCCAAGTAGCACAGAAGTAGCAGCTAAAGCAGGAGACTGTACCTGATACATTTCTCTCATTGAGACAAGCCTCTCCTCAAATTTTTCTAGATTCCACAGAGTGCAGATTCCCAATTTTGTGTTGGTGACTCGGATGCACACAGTTGTGGGTTCTCCATTCATAGCTGGTAGGTCATACCTAGGAAACCATGCACTGTTTTATCATTTGGAAGTGTGACTATTGGCCTACTGTTAATCTAAGCCCAGTAGCCCCAGCAGTGACTGTAGTTAGATGTGTGGAGAAGAAGAGGTTGCAGGTGTTAACATTTCTCCCCAATGAGCAAGCTGAACTTTCCACCACATGCCATGGTAACTAGATGCATTCTTAAATTCCCAGGAAAGCTTACAGCAAGTACATGCAAACTCTTGTTAAAGACATACCCCTCAAATACATTCACTAGTCACCCAGAGTAGTGCAGGACAGGCCCTGCTGGAATGTGGAGCCTGGCCCAAACCCCTATTACTACTCTCTGCTATTTTCTCCTAAAACAGCCTTAGTAATGTTCTCTGAGCCACCCACTTCCCCAATAGCCAAGTTTGCTCCCACTTAAGCCATTATAAAATCATAGTGGAAGTTTCAGGACAATAGTTAACCAATTCTCATCATTCTGGTTCAGACATTTGTCCACAGTTACCACACCCCCTTTTCCATTTTGTGCCCCACAAGACTGGTGTGGTGAAGGGTACTGGGTTCCATCCACCCTGGTTAAATTGAACAAGTTGGAGGAGTTCCTTAAAGAAGGACATTCAAGTTGCACTCGACATTGGACTATGTAGCTGTAGGACCAACGTCTAACAGAATTCAGAAAGGTCACACCTAGCTTCATTTGAGAGGTTTAGACCCCTCTGCCTTTTATAAATTTCTTTAGGGGGATTGAGACCTAACTCCAGCAAACAGGGTTACCTGCTGAAGAGTGTGTGCTTGTTTAAGCTCTTGCTAATGACATTGACTTCTTGCAGCATTATGGAAAGCTGGAGGGCTGTCCACTGAGCTTGGTCTAGAAATGGAAACAATTCCAGTAAGTTTACCAGACAAGACAAGCCTGAAGTTTAGTTTGCGGAGGATTTAAAAACAAACAAACCCACACACCCAACCACTTACTCTCAGCAGACGCAATCTTCCTTTCCTGTTCTTTGGCGGCACGCGTCTGCTGTAGCAGCTCCATCTCCTGAGCCAGCTTCTCTTTTTCCTGCTCAAGGAGGTCCAGGAACTTGCTGCGTTTTTGCTGGGTATCCTGAGCCTTCAAGAGACATGAGCCACAATTCTTTCAGCACATCACTACCAGCTAAGGACACCTGGGCTCTCCATCCCCAGACTCTTCCCTGGGGCCATAACTCCTTGAAACACTAATCCCCAGCTCTTGTGCCGGACCAGTCATTCCATCTTAATGCTTGTAGTCACGTGTTACCCATTTAAAGAACATGGCTCTTATTCATCAGGTGCAGAAGAGTGCTAGATTCCTCACAGACAAGTCTAAGCCCCAAGAGTTTATAATCTAAATGATGCACAAGATGAGATAGCATCCCCGGGAGGGGAAATCCCAGGACAAATGTAGTTAGAGACAGAATCCAGAGTTGCCCACATTTAGCATCTAGTACATACTGGTGACGCGCACAATTTTAGGGTGGGCTATTCAGAAGTGCTCAGCATTGCCAGACTGTATTCCCAATGAAATCGGATTACTGCTGAGTTCAACAGGAGTAGACTTAAGCCAACACTGAATGCTTTGAAAGCCATTTAATTATCAACATTTATTTCTAGCAGTGCTGCAGAAGGGAGGTTTTAGGAATAGGTCTTGATGCTTCAAACTAAGGGATAGTTTGACCAGTGTAGAGGGATCTGTGAGAGGAGACAAAAGGGGTATCCAGGCAGGAATCACTGCTAATGGAGAGGATGAGGCAGGAGAATGCTAAAAGGAGAAGGAGGGGAGAAAAAAAAATAGTAGGATGACGTGTTATGTAGTTTTATCTCACTGCAATTTCATTCCCTAGCACCTGCTGACATTGTAAAGTCAAGTCTGCCAACAGTCGTGTATGGGAAAGGAAGCACTAGTGACGTTTGGTTCATAGTTTTTGTTTAAAGCAAAGCCATTGGTCCTGCAGGAGCAGAATCTGCGACACCTCCAAGGACAGTCACACACTGACATTCTCTCTTCTATAAACTACTTTAGAGCTTGTTCTTCTGCACCACAGCACGAAGCACCTTTTACTTCCTGACCTGAGCGAGGGCAGGCAAGTGCACAAGTAGCTCTTCAGCCGCCTTCCTTGTACTCAGGAGTTTCTTGTTCATTTTGTCTTCCTGAGGCAGGCAGAAGTGTGAATTAAAGCCATTCCCCTCCCCTCTGCCCCCCCCGGACAGTTACCAGCTCCCATGGAAATATATGCCAGGGGCTCAACAGTGAGTACACCAACCCCCTGGAAGCTTGAAAGCAAAGCCTCAGGAATGGGCATTTCCTCTCCACCACACGGGCTAGTGCGGTGCCACTCATGTAGGTGCGTGGGCTACACACCGTACATCCTGCAAGGCTGCTTCTGAATTACTGCCTTGCTTCCTTCCCAAATCCACCTAGAGAACAGAAGGTTGGAATTTTAACTTCCTGCTATAAGGCAAGGGTGGAAGGGAATCGCTTGTTACATGATTTCAGGTGGGTCAGAAATCTCAAGACAGATTTTCCTAGAGTTCAGAGGTGCTTCGATCAGGCACATTTAATTCAGAACCTCCTACCCTTTGATAAATGTAGGCGGAGGTAAAGGCTATTCCTGACACACATCAGCGTCAAGCTGGACCATTAGCATAATGGGGAGTTTCTCATTGACGCAGTTTGAATGGCTGAAGAGTGGGGGGCGGTTTCTTGCTATTGCTTTGAAATGGGGGAGGCACTCTAAGAAACTTACCAGCTGTTCTTCCAGCTGTTTGATGCGATCCTCATAAAGTCGCCTTTGAGCCCATAGCTCCTGCTGAGCCAGCTCCTTGGCCATCTGAAGCTCTTCCATCATTTCCTTCTGTGCCTGCAGTCTGGCTTCCTCTACCTCCATTTCAATTCTGGAAGCAGAAGAAGAGCGAAAGCAGAAGTGGCCACAGCCCGGGCCTACCTTACTGCTTCCTCAAGTTATGGAATGGGGCTTTCCATGAATGGTTACAGCTGGCCCCAAACTCTCCCCACGAGCAGAACTACATGCAAAGGGAACCCAGAAAGACACCAGTTTTGCAGAGGGATCAGCGGGTTTGCTTCAGACCACCAGGGACATGGAAGTCCATTCTCACAGGATCTAATCAAATCCAGTGAAAGTAAGAGGGGGGGGGGGAAACCACCACCCTACAACATCCACCATGCAGTGGGATTTGGTGCAGCACCACTTGGCATGAACATGCTCTGAAATGCATGCTTTTACGTTCCCTCTACTGGCTCCTTCTGCGTCACTGTTAAGTATTTTACACAGATACATCATTAGAAGTTTAAAATTATTTTATGGTTGTTTAGATCTACAAACTGGAAGTATTTTGAAACTGAAGAGAGTCTAATGGAAAACCTAAGTTAGCAGTTTCAGTACGAGTTGTTTGACAATCAAATTAGAAGAGATGCAGGGAGAAAAGACCTGTTGAGTCCTAGCCCATCCCTGCCCGGTATACCTCCAGGCTCACCAACATTCTTGCCACTCATTTCAGAAGGATCAAAACCAGTCTATTCGGATTGGGGGTGCGGCAGGGAGTCAGGGTTCCTGTCTGTTCCCAGGAATCTGATAGTTACTGGTTCAATAAGGATGGAGTTCGAGAGAGGTACTGGACAGCATGATGGCCCAGTCAGCTATGTTCCCTTTGAGATCAGAATCTCTTCCGATTCTCACATGCATTCAAGTTTCCACACACTCAGTCTGACATGGGCAGGCATGCCACATTTACCCTAATCCTGCTATAGAGGAAGAGGAAGTGCAAGCAGACAAGCAGAGAGTTTCTAATTGAGTCTGATGCAACATTGCCATGTTGAAATATTGATTTCGCCCTCCACACGTAGCCATGAGCAAGTAGCACTGTCTGAGGCAGTCTAGGAGCTACAGTCAAGGCAGAACCAGCCCTAATGAACACTACTTATTTCAGGTTGTATTTTTGAAGCAAGTCTATAGTGCTTGAGAAAGGTGCTTGAGAAAGATGCCAGATTAGAGTAGTGTAGTCATTTAGCTATTTTATGCTACCCCTCCCGCTGGCCACACCTGCCCACCCCCTACCAACTGCAGGACATTTCCCTTATTCCCCCTACCCAGACTAACATGCCAGCATAATTCGCAGAGTCCATTGGAGAACAACATGATCATTCTCGTGCAGTGTTCTATGAAGCCCAGCATCATCCCTTAATTATACAGCAAATGGCGTATCCTCAGCACAAAGCCGTTAAGACAGAACTGGAAGTGCTCAAATTGCTCACAAAATGCTTTAACCCTAGAACACATGGGGCATTTTCCAAGGCTGCCAGACAAGTTAATACACAGAACGAACTGCCTAGGTCTGCAGTTTCCAGAGTGCCTATGACTGCAGATCAAATACTTTTGCTCAAAGCAGATATTAGGGAAGGTCACGGAACACATCCAGTTACCTCTGCTTCTGAGCTTCAACTAGCTCATTTTTAGCAAATTCAAAGTCCCTCAGCCCATCAGCTCCCCCTGCTGGCATCAAAGAGGCACGGCGCCCATTCTTGACCTCCATTGGGTGATTGAATCTGAAGTAATGGTTCCCACCAAGAATCACTCGGTCCCCCTAACAAGGATAAATAGGAGAATCAGAAGGTATCAAAGCAGTGATCTGAAACAGGAGCACCATCCACTCCCACAAAAAGCCATCTCATTTCAGTTTATCCAGTAAGTGAGTTATTAACTTCACACACTGAAGTTATGCCTTAAATATCACAACAAAGGGTATCCTCACATCTTAGAGTTAATGTTACAGGAGACATTCCCAGGCCCAGCCCCCAAGGCCCAGAACAAGCCTGTTTAAGGGAACCACTCCTCTAACAGGATAGCTTCCTATTGTAATTTAGCCTCAAATGTGCCAGAGTTCACTATTAACCAGTTATTGGTTTTAAGAGTGTTTTTCCCTGTATAATAAGATTGCCCTTGAAGAGGGCTTGAGTGAACCTCAGGGTCATGGGGGTGGTATTACAATAGAGATTCACACACAGCAAGGTAGTCACTGGCAAAGTGGGTTTGCCCCGCACACAACCCCCTTTAGATACCCTGAAGGTATTGCTAAGAACTCTCTCTTTTCAAGGCTTGTAAAGATCAGTAATAAGAACAGCAGCTATGGTTTTAATAGTTTAGGTCCCCACCTATCTCATACACACTTTACACAAAATCACAGGGAATGGGATGTTAGCTACTGACTGTACATAGGAACGTAAGAACAGCCATACTGGGTCAGACTAATGGTCCATCTAGCCCAGTATCTTGTCTCTGACAGTGGCCGGTACCAAATGCTTCAGAGAGAACAAGTAGAACAGATCAATTTTAACTGATCCATCCCATTGTCCAGTCTTAGCTTCTGGCAATTGGGGGCTTGGAGACACCAGGAGGATGGGGTTGCATCCCTGACCATCTTGGCTAATAGCTTCACAGACCTATCCTCTGTGAACTTGTCTAATTCTTTTTGAACCCAGTTATACTTTTTGCCTTCACATCTCATGGCAATGAATTCCACATATTGACTGTGCATTGTATGAAGAAATACTTTTTTTTAAACCTGCTGCTTACTAATTTCATCAGGCGAACCCTGGTTCTTGTGTTATGTGAAGAGGTAAAACACTTCCCCATTCACTTTCTCCAAACCATTCATGATTTTATAGACCTCTAACATATCTCTTTTCTAAGTTGACCAGTCCCAGTCTTATTAGTCTCTTTATATGGCAGCTGTTCCATACCCCTAATCATTTTCATTGCCTCTCTCTTCTGCACCTTTTTGAATATACATCTTTTTCAAGATGAGGCAACCAGAACTGCACACAATATTCAAGGTGTGGGTGTACCATGGATTTACACAGTAGAATTATATATTCTGTTTTATCATCTATCCCTTTCCTAACAGTTCCTATCATTGTTAGCTTTTTTGACTGCCACTGCACATTGAACAAAAGTTTTCAGAGAACTGTGCACGATGACTCCAAGTGTTAACAGCTAATTTAGACCCCATCATTTTGTATGTATACTTGGGATTGTTTTCCAACGTGCATTACTTTACATTTATCAACACTGAACAGTAGACTAGGATCCCTACATGGTGTAGGGTGACTGCCTCAACTAGGAGGTTTCCATTCACAAAGGTCCTGGCATCTGGGATAGGACTTAAGGTGACCACTCCTTGCACATTGGTGATGACACTGGGAGGAAAGAAGAGAAAAACCAGCAGAGTTAGGCCTAACTTCCACTAGACACAGAGTACAGCTTTTTGCAGAGCAAGATCATAGAATATTAGGGCTGGAAGAGACCTCAGGAGGTCATCTAGTCCAATCCCCTGCTCAAAGCAGGACCAACACCAACTAAATCATCATCAGTAGTCCCTCAGTTACACAACAGGTAAGTGTGTGAGAAATTGCACTAGTCTTTGAGAGGATACAATAAGGCTAGTGTTATGGTTCCTTTTGGGGTTAGCTTTGAAATAAGATGACAGAAGTGGACATATTTAGAGGTTTTTAAGGTCAGGCTTGACAAAGCCCTGGCTGGGCTGATTTAGTTGGGGATTGGTCCTGCTTTGAGCAAGGGGTTGGACTAGATGGCCACCTTTTGGGATCCAAAATCATAGAATATCAGGGTTGGAAGGGACCTCAGGAGAAGTGCAGTTCTATTCTGAAAAGAGACTGCAAATGGCACTATGGCATTCCCTGATCATGGTCTCAGTCCCGCCATCAAATGTTTACAAGTAAAGAGATTTTTTTTTTTTATGTCAGCCCTGTAAACTCAGCCTGGGACCACAGCAGCTTTCACCCTCAGTAATAAGGGTTCTGTGCGCTAAACACTCAGCCATTAGGGTTTTACAGCTATCACCCTATCGACTTCAAATTGTGCTCCGAGGCAGCGGGTGGCTATAACTGGAGCTCCACAGGCCATTCTGATGCCCAAGTCAGAGAATCCATCTCTTTCACAGCTGTGATGGCTCTGCCAGGCCAGCTGGAGAATAAAGCAATAGTAACCGACATCACCAGCGAGGTCCGACTACCCACAGGGAGCAGGACCTGCTGAGTAAGAAGCAGTAAGTCATTTTTCAGACTAGAACCCAGCTATAGTCTGATATGTACGTCTGCCACCAGCATGGACAGCTCCCCTGGCTCAAGCAGGGCGGCACGCGACTGAGAAGTTAGCAACCTTGGGGAAGAAAGTCCACGTTCAGGAGTTCAGCGGGGGAATTCAGCAGTTTCGACTCGGGCTAGAAGGCCTGCTTGGAGCTCAGGGAGCTCTCTCCTGTGGGAGGTTTTAAAATGGTGTTGACTTTAGGAGGACTTACCAGTGGTCCACTGAAATGAGTGCTCCTGTCAGCTGGATGTCATGCTCAGAGTCTGGATGAAGACTCCCCACCCTGGTTTCTCCCTCTTTGAGGATATAGAGAAGCATCTCCGAGAGCTGTGGATCTTTGTTTAGATTTACCAGGTTTGGCAGACAATTGTCAACTTTAAAGCACACTCCTGCTTTCTAGGAGGCGGCAGCAGATAGAGCAGGATTTTAGTCATGAGTGGCTAGTGGGTTATGGCTAACAGACAAGAACCTAGCCCTCCCTGCTCACAGTCAAGGGATTTTGTATTTAAAAGGTGGCCTCAGAAACGGAACGCCTGTCCTTCTGATCTTCAGTCCCACTACCGGGCATTAACTTCAGCAGACAGATGTCAAAGCTGGGTTGGCCACTAGAGGACACCCGTGTTCTCAAATACACTAGAAGTACACTGAAAATTTAAAGCTGTATATTGTGCTCTGATACATACAGATACCCAATGGAATAGCAGCCTCTGCTGTAAGCTGGAAAGATAGTGTTATGGCAACAAGTTGCCTCACCTATTTTTGTGCCATCAGTTTCTCCAGCTAGAACTCTTACTGGAAAGGGATTTTGTACGAGACAAGTTCTATCACAGAACCCGCCTTCCCACTCAGACCGGCCAGTTTGATCCTGTACAGAGGATAGCAAGTTTAATATTCCCCCTCCACCCTCTCTTACTGGTAGTTTTTCAGGACCGGTGGGAATCGCTTGGCTTCCCATAATGTGAGTTACACACTAGGATCTTTTCCTGCTGCTGCAAGCTGACTCTGACCTCACCTGTATCACTCCTATCCACACATTTAGAGAGAGGTCACCAGCCTCTGCTGCTTAGGAGTGCCTCCCCTCACTCTGGCTCTGTAGGATATAGGCTTCACTCTCCATACCTGCAGTTCTTGCTCCTCTTCCCTCTTGTGTTGTTCTGCTAAAGTCAGTTTCTCCTGCCAGGACCTAGAACAAGTCTTCATCCTTACCATGAAATCAATTCTCCACCTCCACCCCCCCCCCACATACACACCCTATCACACTCACCACCAGGGCCGGCTCCAGGCACCAGCCCAGCAAGCAGGTGATTAGGGCGGCCAACGGAGAGGGGCGGCACGTCCAGCTCTTCGACGGCGGGTCCCTCAGTCCCTCTCTGATCGAAGGACCTGCCGTCGAAGACTGAAGCGGCGGTGGTGGAGGTGCCGCAGATCGCGACTTTTTTTTTTTGCGCTGCTTGGGGCTGCAAAAACCCTGGAGCCGGCCCTGCTCACCACACCCACACACCCTTTTGTATACTAGTGATTGGCAACATTAGTTAACAGGAAACCAAACATCCAGGCCTTAGTCCTAGATGAGTGACATGTGATGGACCACAGCCCAATGATATAAGCATTGTAACACTAGACAATGGAGTGTTTAAGTTGTAGAAGATCAGAATAGTAAGCTCTGAAGTATTTGCTTCTAGCACACTAGAACATTTAACTAAGACGACCCACATGGCCCATCAAAACCTTGTTCCTTACATGGGGGGGAGGGGGGGAGAAGAGGGGAGAAAGATTCCTTACTTCTGTGATTCTGCCAGTTCTCTTTCCCGTTCAGCAAGTTGTTCTTTCAGATACTGGATTTCTCGGAGACTAGCTTCATATTTCAGCACATCAATCCCTTGACTGCACTGCTGGGCAGCTCTCAGCTTCTCAATCTCAGCTTTCAGCTCTTAAGGAGATGGAAAACACCTCTTTAAACTAGTTACATTACTAGTTGCATTGGATTCAAACAGCTCAAGCCCTCCCCTTTCAGAAGTGACAGCTTTGGCAATATGGACCTCCATGGGAAACATCCCTAGGAAAGAAGGAGATCTCAGTCTGGGAAAACTTATTTAATTAAGTTTTTGCCTTGACTATATCCATCTGTGGATATCTAGATCTGATAGTGACAGCTACAGGAGCATTCTGCTAGTGAAGGTGTTCGTTGGAGTAGTCACAGCACATAGGGACACTAGGGGTACAGGAACAATTGCAGCAAACATTGTTTTTGGACAATGCATGTCACCTTTGGCCACCTGGTACACATTGACCAAGTGCACAATACCCTAGTATAGGAGATCTCAGGCAAATATTAAATACAAGAAAAAAAAAGACAGCTAGTCACAGTATTAGTCTTGGCTTCATACAGCAGAGGTACAAGACAGCTACTCGCAGCTTCGGGAAATATTTCCTTTAGGCCCCTCTAACTTACTGCCCTCTTGGGTCAGTGTCATTTGCCTCCCATCATTTTGTACTGTTGGAGGCATCAATCCCAGAACCACAGGCTGCTAAGAGCTGCTTCTCAGCGCCATACCTCTGATCAGCACTGCATTGGAATCCTCATTGACCTTGGCCACATTAACAATGCTGCGAGCTTGACTGGCGTAGCGCAGCGTGCTCAAGGTTTCCTCAACGTGTGCAGCGGTTGGGCTGATGGTGGCTATCATGGCTGTCTTAGAGTTACCACCCAGGCTCTCCTTCAAAAGCCTCAAAGCAGATTTAGGAGACAAGTTAGCAGAGTGACCACGAGTCATGGGTAAATGGCAACAAGATCCAGTTTGCAAATCCACCCATCCTCTATCCCACCCTTAATTAAAGGGACAGTGCCACGTGGAATACTAGTTCCTGCAATAGCCTCTAGGGTTAAGGCTTTACGAAGCCCAGAAGTTTTGCATTAACTTCTATACCTCACTTACATTGACCAGAAAAGTCCACTTCTGCTTCTGGCTCCTATGTGAGAACATAATGGGGGAGGTACAAGATTCACTAGTCAGAAAAGACACTTTTGCTAGTTTATAAAGACTTTGCATAGTTCTGGTTTAACAAAAACATCCCTTTAACATTAGGCCCATCTACAAGGTTGTTAGGCACCCAGATACTACAGTATTGGGCAGATTATAAAATGTCCTCAATATTTTAGTATCTTGTTTCATTCTATTTTATTAAGGTCAGGCTTCTCATACAATCGGTGCCTAAAAGTGGTAGCATGCAAAGCTTTAAGGAGCAGTATCAAGAGACCAGCTGAACTAAGGCTTTGGTGAAGAATCCCTTACTATTTTTTCCAAAATCTGAATTTGCAGTCCAGCTCTAAGAGCTCCACCAGTCATCCTGTAGGACAACTCTGTTTCAGTTACAAAGCCATGATGTTTAACAAGCATGCCCAGAATCGGATTTTAACGGGAGAGCTGTGTGAAGGTGCCAGTAGTTTCCTTGCCGTACCAGGTTAAGACAGAGTCTCTGTAAGGGATGAAGCACTTTCTCTTGAATTGGGACATTTCAGATAGTGCAGAGATCACCTTCCCGAGGGTGAGCAGGGACTTGTTGATACTAGCACCTTCCTGGAAAGAGACATTACCAAATTTACAAAGGTAACTGCAACAGCCAGAAGGGGATTTTGATACAGAAGCTAACTGAATTAACTTAGTTTTTCCCTTTCAGATCCCAGCTATGGCATCCCATCATTATATGGTTACAAAAATGAGAACTGGATCCAAAGACTTGTTTCTCCCAATAGCTTCCAGATCCAGTTTGCAAATCAGAAGCAATTTTACATGCCGCTAGAAGTGTGGCTACCAGCTGGATTCTCACATCGGCCCTAGTCAAATTCAGCAACTGGAACCAAGCTGCCAGCTAAAATCACAATGTAGGTGGCATGCAGAATCCAGCTCAGTCGTCCAGAACTACATTAGCGCTGCTGGATTACCTGTAGCGGGAGACGTCATTTGTCAGTAGAGTAAGCAGATATGGCACAGGGGAAACATACTACATATGGAGGAAGGTGTGCCAGTTTGATACAGTTACTTTTGAAGGCTGGGACTATAACAGCGTTTAAAAGAGAACTGGATACATTCATGGTGGTTAAGTCCATTAATGGCTATTAGCCAGGATGGGTAAGGAATGGTGTCCCTAGCCTCTGTTTGTCAGAGGGTGGAGATGGATGGCAGGAGAGAGATCACTTGATCATTGCCTGTTAGGTTCACTCCCTCTGGAGCACCTGGCATTGGCCACTGTCGGTAGACAGGATACTGGGCTAGATGGACCTTTGGTCTGACCCGGTACGGCCTTTCTTATGTTCTTTTCCCAACGTGTTATTCTATAGAGATCCAGATATTTCAAAGGGTATCCATGTTCTCAGAGTTAAAATAATCCAGCTTGCTTAAGTGTGGGGTTTTCCTTGGAGGCTCACGTTTTGGGATTCGTTCACCATCATGCTTTAGAGATACCTACTTGGCTGAGAAAAGTCAGTTAAAAATTCTAATCAATAGCAGAATGCCAGGACTGGGGATTTTCAGATCAAGGAGAAACTAACATCAATACTTTGCACTTCTACAGCACTTCTCAGCCAAGAATTGGTTATCCAAGCACTATGAGGTAGGTATCAGATAGGGACTCTGATAAGTAGAGGATCAGGGTCATACGTAATTGACTTTCCTCTTGGACAGGCAGAACCCAGATCTCCCAGTTCTGGGTCTAATGGTTCCTCCAAGGTCGCTACTATTCCCTGTCAGTTTCATAGACATCATACCAACTCAGTGGAAGATTTTGCATTTGGATTTAGTTTCCCCTCCTCTCCCACCCCAAAGTAAGCAGCATCACCCAACCTGCGTTCTCAGCCCACTGGTTTGTGCCAGATTGCAGCGCTCACTTCCCGAGAGGTCCACCAAATTCACGTGGCTCACCAGCATGTGGTCATGTGCTTCTCCCTCCAGGTGTTCCCTCTGCAAGGCCACACAAGAGATTAGATTTGTTGCCACCGAACATAGTGTCTGAACATTCAGCATCTTCCCTGCCTCCAGCCTTCAAACCACAGTGGACAAGGCTACGTCATCCCATGGCTAGACAGCACAGTCTGCACACTGGTCCGGTCACTTTAATAGCTCCAAATCTTACCCCACAGGCATGAAAGCCAAGTACAGGAAGACTCAAGGGGCAGTTCGAGAACAGTCTGGTGACTCGGGATAGGTCTGGGATTGGAGGGAATGGGGTCCACTTGCCTTCGTCTGAGCCACGACCAGTTTGAACACAGAGTGAGAGCGGGAGCTTCTCTCATTCACGCTAGTGGCTGCTGTAGCTCGCTGCTTGTTTCCAAGTTCCAGCCAGGTCTAGAATAGAAGCAACAATTAGTTTCCACATTGATCCCACTCACATTCCCTCCCTGGCTCCTCTCCACCCTGCTCCATGGCCTGGACCCCGGTCTGAGGATTGCTGTTGACACTCTGCTCCACAGACACAGTGGAGCGGGAAAGGGTAAAGCTAGTCTGTGCAGGAAACAGAGCTTTTCCAGGAGCCAGTCCCATAGTGTTAAATGAACTCCCCCAGAAGCTAAGGGCCTTTACTATCCTCCCCATCCCCCATTCTGCTTTCATCAGCAGGGTGCACTTGTGTCCTGTCTTTCTCCATTGGAGAGAGACAGACATTAAAACAAGTCCCCACACTGCACACAGTCCTGCCATTAGGGAGAAGACAAGAGAAAGAATGAGCCAGGAGACAGATGTTAGTCACTCTGCACACGATGGGAAGACACTCAGACACTGCAGCAAGCAGGGACACACAAGCACCTGTACAGAACAGAACACCAGCTCCAAGGAATGAGACTGCATTCTGAGCAATTGCGTGATGCTTCGCTGTTTAAGACTTGCCTGGCCATAGCAGCTTACCAAGAGACGGCAGGTGTTGTCCTGACACAAGCCTGTATCGACATTGGGTCTACACTACCCGCCTGAATCGGCGGGTAGAAATCTACCTCTCGGGGATCGATTTACCGCGTCCCAACGGGACGCGACAATCGATCCCCGAATCGACGCTCTTACTCAACCAGCGGAGGTGGGAGTAAGCACCTTCAACGGGAAGCCGCAGAGGTTGATTTTGCCGCCGTCCCTACAGCGGGGTAAGTTGGCTGCGATACGTCGAATTTAGCTACGCTATTCGCGTAGCTGAATTTGCCTATCTTAAATCGACCCCCCCGTAGTGAAGATGTAGCCTAAGTTCTGAAATGCCCCTTCAGGATAGTGGGCTTGCTAGGAAGCAGTTCAAGATACCCACCAGAGCAATTGAGTATTATGGGATATGGGGAGCCACTTATTTCTCTGCCTTATGAAATACCCATTACAAACTCCAGGCTACCACATGTTAGCAGCAAATCTGGAGAGCAGCTGCAGCAGACAAGGACAGTCAGCCCCTAAGCTGTGGTCTCTCTGCTCACATGGGATTTTCCCCGCCTCCCCTTCCCCCACCCCACCCAAATTCTGGATTCAGCCAGCTCCTAAAGTGCCCTGCAAATCTGAGCAGTTTTGCATGGCAGTGCCATATGCAGTTTTGAAGAGAAGGGCTCAGACTTAAAAAAAAAAAAAAAATTACTGCTCTCTGTTGATTTTGATCAGCTTGACTATACCTAGAAGCAGCATTCTTCCCCCCAACATTCTCAGCCTGACTGGAGAAAGGAGCAATTTTGTTCCATTTAGCAGAGGATGTCATTCTCAGCATGGAGCAGGTTAATTGATTTCCATGGTCAGTTAAGAGAATTAATCAGATGAACTGTGGAAACAGCCAAGGAGAAGGGAAACAATAGATGCATGGCTTAGACATTTTTTTCTTAAAGGCTTTGAAGATAGTTGACCTGGAAACACAACTCATTAGTGAATCTTGTTCTTCCAAAAAAAGTCTCAGAGCTTATTTGCAAGCACGGTTGATGGGATAAACGGACAGTGAATCCGTGGCATTGCTTACACTGCAGTACACTGATGCTGCCTTGACAGAACATTTGATAGTCTATTTTATAGTTCTAGCCAGCAGCTCAGCTGGTAGGGGTCTCTCTCTCGGATGTTAGATAGGAACAACTGGAGGACCTCAGCTCTTTGGGCCAACATAACAGGAAAGAACTTGGTGGACATTAGAACACAAGCACTGGGATTGGAAGGTGAGACAAGTGTAGATCAGATAGCTCAAAATCAAGAGCAGAAGTAGAGACAGACGAGATCAAGCATGCCCATTTCATTAGGCCTTGAGTATAGCATAAAAATTCAGATTAGGAAAGAGAATATCTTTTACTGGACCAACTTGGTCCACCCTTGTGTGTCTAATATCCTGGGCCCAACATAGCTACAACACTGCTTACAGATTAGGAGAGTGAGCTAGAGAGACAGGAACCCTCTACATTTGCAGAGGAGAATGTTATGTGCATTGCTGTAAGATTTAATGGGGGAGGTTCATCCATCAAATAACTGCACTGAAGTTGCTGGAAGAGGGCATAGAGTTACTGTTATGGAATGAAAGAGCCAGAAAGGCATGCCACATGAAGTGTTCCAGAAGCCCGGAAAGAGACCAGACAAAGCTGCAAGGCATGGACAGCTAATGGCATCATCCATAGGAGAGCCAGGAGAAGAGGTTCACTCTTTAGGGATTGTAGAGAAAAAAAAAAACAGAAGCGGAAAAAGTATGCGTCAGACCACAGGAGATGGCAGCAAGATTCAGGGCAGCAAGAAAAAGCAGGTTAGGGGTATGAAAACACAGCAGAAATACTTTTGTAGGGAGGACGCTAGAGTCTTGAGATGAGGAGAAAAGGCAGGAGCCAAAATTATTCAGCGAGTTAGATACATCAGCAAGCATTTGGCAGATTCTCTAGGACAAAGAGTGCACCAAGATTTGCACTTTCAGTACCCTGTTTGATAGCTACGACCAGCGCCTGGAATGCTTTCAGCACCCAGAGCACCTCACCATGCGAGAAGGGACTGCAGGAGTGAGTGGACACCAACAGTGTCACCACACATCTTGTAGGATACTATGCAGTGCCATGCTTCCTGGGCAAATCTGTCAGCAGGAAGAACCACCAAGCCCCGAGAGCACAAACACAGCCAGGCTAGATTACAGCAGCAATACTGCAGCTACTGCCTAAGTTATCGTTTCTTGTTCCCCTACGAGCTGCCATAGTCATTACTGAAAGATAAGCAACAACTAAAAGATTAAACATTGATGCTACCCAGGATTCAGGTACAGTAGATTCTTCAGTAAGTTAATGCCACTGACATGCTCCACAGCCTTTCAAACCGAGAGGTGGGCAGACAGGTTCGGCCATAGTTTCAATTTTACTGAAATCCCCTTTTGCATACAGATCTTTTCCCTTGGGAAAGGGCTTGTGCAGGTGAACTGAATGACTGAGCAATAGAACATCAGAGCATTTTTACATTTAGTAGCCTGATACCTTAAACTTTCATTTTACTTGGCACTCTTTCCCTAGAGGCAGCTATGGGAGTTGGCAGCATCACCAGGTTACCAGAGAAAACACAGGAATACAATAGAAGAACAGACGGCCTACATTTTGTTTAAACAAACACACACACGATCAAGCAAGTCACTGGCAAGAAATCTGACTTGGGACAGAGCTACCCAGTGCTTCAGACCCAGAAGTTGTCTCTCTTTACCTAGTTCATCCTCATTGTGAAGCAGAGAGCATTGCGGGAAAGCAGTTGAGTTTTGTTGTACATGGATGTCTGTTCACACTGTACTGAAGGACCAAGCTCAGTCTCACATCCCAAGTCAATATTTGTATAGCATTTGGCAGTATAAAGTACAATTTCTAAGCCATTCCAGTCTGTGATTAGATTTATTCAGTGGCCTTAGGAAGTACTGCATGACCACAACCTCCTTTTTAGAGGTGCAACCCCAAAGTTTTGCCTACATATGCTGATCTGCCCCTCTCCTTCCCACCCCCTGCACACTGAGAAAAATGGTTCCCATTCCACTCAGAGGTAGCATGGTCCAGTGGACAGGACACTAGAACCTACAACTCCAGACTGTCTATTCACAATTCTGCCACGCAGCCTTGAGCCAATCAGTTCACTTTGTGTTCAGTTGTCTCTTCCCTTCCCCTCCTCCCCCCCCCCCCCAAAAAAAATCACTTGAGCTGCTTTATAGTAGTTCAGTTGTAAGCTCTTCAAGGCAGGCACTGTCTTATGTCTGTACAGCACCTACTATAAAGGGGACTTGATCTTGGGTATTGCCATTAGGCAAATAATGCCCATCCCCCACGTATTTCCCCAACCTGAAAAACAACTAAGCTCTTAATATTTTGCATTTCCGTACAGTCTTCCTTTCATACAAGGTGCTGTACAGCACGGTGGGATCTCCAATAGGACACAGCCCCTTACAAGTAAAAGGCAGCTGGCACCGAGGGGAGGAGGAAAAGGTGTCTGGCTAAGGACAGCAGGCAAACTCCTGGCATATTTAATGTCCATACACAACAGGATGGACACTTATTTCCAGCCATAAAGGTGACTGGAGAGAAGCAGAAATAGCTAGTTTAGATTCCAATGAGCCACTTTCAGGAATAAAGATGCAGGGAAGAAGACAGCAGTAGATGGAGCTAGTGATGCATCATTAACAGAGCTTTGAACTAAGGCAGACTTACCTGCACATCTGCAAAAGAGCCAACCACATACCTGGGAGGATAGGGAAGAGGCACTATATTACTAGAAGGTAAAATAATAATTGTAGGACATCTGCTTCGTTGTCGAGGACCATGAGGGAAATAAAGCTGTTGTCCCCTCTAGCTAAAGCCTGCTGTTTCTTTTTCCCCAGACTCCCAACCACCAACTGCTCCACGATTTGGATGCCAATCCAATTTTGACGCCTCTAATTCACCCAAGAGACTGTTTATTTTAACTTTATCAAGAGAAGAGAAAAACAACTGTGTTAGACTAAAAAGAGAGCATCTGGCAGCATGATGTTCTCCTTTCGCTACCAGGTACCGGCACAGGCCGGGAAATTAGCTGAATGAGTCAAGAGCACAATACACACCACGTGTTGAAGTGCAGGCTCCATGGAGCCCCACAACGGGGTCACCCTGATCTGGAAACACGGAGGCATAGCCTGTAGAGCGCACAGCTCCCAATAGGCAGCCCTCCCTCTTGGGCCACATGAGGGACCTGCAATATTTTCTGTATTAGAAAAGGAGGCCACAATGAGGTGCAGCCTGCTGGATTTTACCATCTGACTAACACAGCCCTTAGCTGTGCAAGCATTGGGTGCCCAGGACTGCAGGGGCTTGTTTGGCAGTTAATGTTAACTACAGGATCAGTTAAGAGATGCAGACACAGTGGTTAGGTTGTTCCAGTGTTTCCAGATCTCAGGCTTCCTTTCTCCCTTCCCCCATAAGAGTCATGCTGCCTTGCAACAATGGCAATATATTCCTCAGAATCCAGCTGATGAGATGCTACCATCCAGAACTAGCAACACTTAGGAGTTCTCAGTTTCCACCCCCTAAAGCAAGCCACTCCCTTCACATCTTTGAGAGCCATGTACAGGAGTTTCATTTTGATTTTAAGAAGCTAGTTCTAGGCTGTCTGGATACAGTCAGTCTGAACACTGCACAACTTGTGTGCCATGAGGTTGCATTCTCTGTTTTGTGCGAGTCACATACACCCTCAAAAGCAGGATCCGCAATAGTTCTGAAGAGACTTCTTGCAGTATGAGAAACAATCGTTTACTGATTAAGCGAGAGACCATGGGTCCAGACCTTGAGTTCTAGTCTCAAGGGTACCACCAATTTGTTGCAGGTTTTTGATCAAATCACACCACCCGTATGCCTCAGTTTTGCTAACTTGTCGGGATAATTCTTAACTATATTCACACAGTGCTTTGAAGACATAAAGCACAATGCAAGTGCTACGTATTTATCTGTTTCACTTGGAAAGAAACTTTCCAGTTAATTCTAAGAGGAGAACCGTAGCAGCAGAATCAATAAGATGCTTCATGTTGATTGGAGTGCAGTTCAGCTACATGGCACACACAGCACCGAGCTGAGCTAACCCAGTTTTTCATCTGGGGCTGGAGAGATTAGAATCGTTTATACTAGTTCCTTGAAATTAATGCAGCCTCTGCTTAAACCTTGGGGAGTTGTCAAGTGTGATGCTTCCCATTTGACTAGATCAGGATCAAGGAGTTTGGTCTCATGTGCAGATACTTGTCTGGAGTCCCTATAATTAGGCCCATCTTTGTGTCCAGAGCTCTAAGCCTTTGGGCTAAGAGCTATAATTCAGTGGACAGCCTGCCGTTAATACCAAGTGTCAGTTTTCCAGGATGGCTTAGCTGAAAGGCACTTGTTAAACCATTACATACATTGCTTGTCGCTTGAAACAATGAAGGTTCTCTCCACCAGGACACTCCGCTAGTGACAACACTACGCAGGACACCTGGCGCCCTGAAGGCTTTACAAGCTTGAGCCAACTACCTAAGAAGCTCTTTGGACAGGCTTCTCTGCTGTGCACCCCAGAGTTATCCCAGGTATTGGGAGCATCTCCTCATGCACCCCTACTCTATTGATTCCCCAGTGGGAGAGCAAGGCAACCTTCTGTATCCTACAGGACACAATTGAACTGCTCACTGGTCCGACCACAAAGGGGAAGAGTTTTGGAGGTCGTTTAGAGCTGGATTAGATAGAGGCTACCGTGCAAATAAGGCCTCATCAGGATAAGGGGTCAGTTGCACTTCTGCTCAGACTTCAGCTCTGAGTAGCAGCAGTCACAGAAGCTCAGATCCTGTCAGATCCAACACCAGTTCCAGGCTGGAAACAAGCCTGTGGGGGCAGGTCTGCATCCAAGTTTCCAGACGCCTTCCCATCACCAAGAGGGAAGCCTGAAGGACCTTAGATTCAGGAAGATTCTCATTTTAATGGAAAGTTAAAGAGTAAGGAACAAACTGTTGTTATACCTGCGAGCCACTCACTGACTTCAGTGCAGAAGTCTCTGGATATGCCTACACTGGAAAAAACAAAACAAAACAACCTCCCCCCCCCCCCGACCTCCGCTGCGCACACACACAGCAACAAGTCTCACAGCCTGGCCTAACTGACTCAGGATAGTAGTGGAGACATTCCAGCTCTGGCCAGAGCTTGGGCTCAGAAACCAAGCAGGAGGGGCAGGTCTCAGAGCCTGGGCTCCAGCCAGAGCAGGAACATTAACACGGATATTTTTAGCCCTATAGGGTGAGCCTAAGTCTTAACCCGGACGCCAAGACTCACTGCCATGGGGCTATTTTTGTAGTGTAGATGTAGAGTCAGTCTTCATTTTTTACAACTGAGCATGCAATAAACTTGGAGTTTGTTGCCTAAACAGAAGTGTTTCTTTAAAAGTAAGACAATCGTACCAGATACATTCTGGAGGCAGGAGGATGGTGACTGATGTGCCATTTCACCATCTAAAAAAAAAATTTTAACAGACCATACTTACGTAGAAAGGCCAGTTACATAAGGACCAAGGATTGGATGTTCTCGTACTTTCAGCTATATCGGGGTGTGGGGGAGGGAGGGAAGGGGAGAGAGAGATTGATTACATTAGGGTTACTTCTTTAACACAAGCAATAGCAAGGCATGAAAGGTGGACACCTTGGGAATTTAGATGCATCATGCTAGAAAATGCCAAGCAAAGATTGAAGGAGAGATCTTACAAGTCTTGCCTTCTCCCACACTGGATTCTCTCTCCAGCAATGAAGCCTGTAGTGTCTGCTCTGACTACAATGGACTCTTCCAGCTTCTTACCCCATCCCCATATTAACTGTCCCAGGTGGGGCCTCTGCTTCAGCATGCAGCAGTAAGACCACCATCAGGATCCAGGGAGTGATTCTCCCATGCAGGTGGTTGAGTACCACCACTCACAACCCTTTGAACTCCCAAGCATGTTTCTCCACCCCCCATCCCTCCCACCCCCCATCAAGGGCCACAGCCAGGGATAACTTTTGCTGCAATGAGAAGAATGCCAGGCATCTGCCAAGAAGGGACACTCATCCCAAGCTGAATTTTAGTGATTGCTCAGATAGAGTCCAGGAGGAAGACCCTCCTGGGGTCACCTGACTAGTCTAGGAAACTGGAACAACTGAGACAGATGGAACCAACAAGCTATAAGCATGGTCTCTGGCAGGCTCTTGCCAAGTGGCCCACAGTTACTATCAGCTCATCAAAACATGGATACACTTTGCTACTAAACCAGTCATCCTCAATTAGCAGGACAGGCTTGTTGTTTGGGACCATTGCCTCTACCACCACCCTTGCCCAGAAGTTAAGGGTGGGACTCTGGGACACCTCCAGGAGGCACGGGGCAGGTGGAAGAGGATAAAGGTTTAAGCCACCTTGAGCCCTCAGGATTCTGGAAGATTGGTGGCTGAAATAACCCCTAGTGTAACTTAGGGAGCACAGAATGTTGTTGTATGTCAAGGCAGCTCTACCTCATGCTGGGCCTGCCCCATCCTGGTCCTGCCCCAGATTCTCCATAGCCCAGAGAACTATGGTCCCACCTCACACTGAGCTTTGAGGGGACCTGTGTAGGACAGCCTATGGCGGCCTGATGCAGTGCTCACACCAGGGGGATTCTCCCTTGGCTGGCTAAGGGACCCTAACAGAAGGGAGAATTCCTCCCGAGAGCTCTAGGACAAAGCTTGCCCAATATGGCCCAGGCCACATACAATCAATGAAGTTACATCAGGGAAGAATCAAGCCCCCAGTTTTGTAGCAAGGAGGGGCATACACCTGGGGTTCAGTACTGCAGGTAAATATGTAACATTTTCCAAACTCACAGCTTTCTTCTTGGCATTAGCATCTTTGGAGGATGTTAAGAGATCATGTATCCGTTCATTGTATACCTCAAAGTAACTCAGCTCAATGCGATGTTTCACCTGTTGGAATAAGGGAGAAGAATGCACTTGCAAGCACTGGGGTTGGCAGTGGGAAGGGATTCAAAAATCCATTTTAGCCTTCAAACACAGGGCATTCTGAATGGAGCAGCTCATTTTACGTAGTTGGCCATCTCAAGGTTACATTATATGTGTTGCCAGGCCCCAATATCATATAGCCCAGTGCACATTTACAGGGTTACATAAGCTTAAAGCTTACCATGGTCACTAGTGCAGACGCAAACGCTATCTTCAATTCAGCTAATAGGAAGAACTATTACGGCTAAGACAAGCCTTCACAACAGTATTAGTATAGACCTACCTACAATATACCTGAAACATGGCCTATTAGAAACAGTCTTTTTTAAATGGAAGGATTAAAATTAGCATAAGGCAGAAAACTCTGTTTTTTGATGCATTTTGTCTTCATCCAAGCCTCAGCAGGGAGAAGTGGATACTAAAAATAGAACAGTTTTATAGGCGTGATAGCATTTCATCCAGATTAATGGAGAGAGGTTTCAGAGTAGCAGCCGTGTTAGTCTGTATCCGCAAAAAGAACAGGAGTACTTGTGGCACCGTAGAGACTAACAAATTTATTAGAGCATAAGCTTTCGTGGGCTACTGCCCACTTCTTCGGAGGGGCAATCCCATAAGGTGCCCTGGCCAATTTTTGGACAGCTCTAATGGAGAGACTGGGGACTTTCCTACTACAAAATATTACGCAAAATGTTACCTCCTCTTGTTGAGTCAGATTTACTTTCCAAAATATTTCCTTGCAAAATCGTGGAATTAAGCCCACCTCATCAGCATAGCCTGTCATTCTGTTGAAGAGGAGACCCATGTTTAGTTGTGCTGAAAACCCTAGTCAGAAGAGGACACTCAATTTTGCTCTAGTCCTTAATATAGCAAAATGATTTCATCTGGCCAAGTCACAAGTCCTCCCCACAGATGAGAAAAAGCCATCGTGTTTCACTTTGAGACAGGAAACAGATGCAACATACTTATTAAATTCCATTCTGACTGCCCTCACTATTCTATGGGCTAAAGAGTTGTTAGAAAATCTAGTTTAGAAAGAAGTTATTTATGACAGTTACTATCTGTCTTTACAAGAGATTAGTTTACGATTTTGCTTCATTCTAAAACAGTTTGACTCTTTGGTTGAGTTACAGGAGTTTCACCACTTAAGGTTTTGAAAATTAAACTTTTCTATAGAAGGATTACTTAGTGGCAGATTCTGATCAAGTGGCTGGATTTAGTTTGTTGCCTCAAATAAGCCTCAGATGGCTGGAGATAGCAGTTACAACATTTATAGTAGAGTTCTTACGTGTAAGATTTCCCAGATCCAGTTTGTCCATAAGCAAACAAACAAGTATTGTAACCTTCAAAGACTTTGTCTAGGAGTGGCTGGGCCAACAGACAGTATACTACTTCTTGACTGGCATATCCCTTATCCTCTGGATTCTGAGACCCAAAGCAATAGTCATAGGAGAAAGTCAGCTGCCTGTTTGTATGAGGATGATGTATCAGTATTTCCTTTCCAGAAAGGGACACAACACATTTTGTTCCAACTTGCTGTTCTCTGTGAAGTCAGAAAAAGAACATTTTTATTTTAGAGACAATTACTTTGAATGGCCACAGCTGGAACCCAACTGCTTGTTTGAGTCTGCTGTATTTCAAATGCAATAATCAATGCTAAACTCTGCATCTCCTATCAGTGCAACAAATTGTGTTTAGTCAGGTGAAGTACCCACCCTGCTCCTAGCACAAAGCCTACATTGGCTATGGTTCCAGTGTACCACCTTCTCAGGCTTTGCCTTTACTGACGTGCAAATTAATATTCTGAACCCAAACTTTATCTTGTGCTTGGCTATACCTGGGCTACGACTCTGCTCCTGCCCCCAGTTCTCTCTGCCTCAGTAGAATACTCAAACAGTTTTATACTCTTGAGTTGGAGCTAGTAGGACCCACCTAGTCTGGTATCAAGTTGAGTCAGAAAGCTGTAGGCAGGATCCTATAACTTCTACGTACCTTTACTCAGTACACACTGACAGCACACCAACTGGTCTAGTTCGAGTATACAGCACAAGGAATAGAATCCAGGCTGCTCCTCTTGTTGCTGGCCTCCAGAAAGGTCATCAGAAAAAGTGTTAAGTCTGATTCCAAACAGAAGGCCACTCTCAGTCAACTGCCCCCTCAAAATTTAGAGGCATTTGAAATCTAAGCCAGATTCTGAAATTGTAAAGATAAGTAACTCTTTGCTATTGGGCTGAACAAAAATCCCAGGCATTCAAAATTCAGCTCTGGAATATGCTACTTGAGCCCATCGGCATTTCAAGAGTACAGTTGTAGATTACAATTTCCATCTCTCAGTTTATTTTGTTTTAAAGATACCAAGAGAAGATGATGGAAGGAGGAAGAGGATTAGCAGCACATCTGCAGTCTGATCATACTGGCTTCAATAGGAGTTACTGATGAGCACAGCTGAGCCAATAACTAGGCCCCTATTTATTGAGAGTCTGAGGTGGTTTCAAGTTCTACTGCTCAGTTTTTATCTGGGGAGCTGAACCAATAGGCAGGACACTGGATGTTCATACTGGAGGCAGGCTGGAGAAGAAGATGGGGCAAGGGCAAAGGAAAGGGCAATTCTAGCTGTATGCTGGAACTCAGTATATGACTCTTCGCTCTCATGGCTTAGATCACTGCACTGTTAGAAAGTTACCTTTGGGTCAGTGGCCTAACCCTGACTGCCACACTGATGGCACTGCTCTCTCCAGAAGAGCCTCCTTTGGAAGAGGTCCTCCACTGTTCTTTCACATGGCCACGGCTCCCCCTGTTTTCACAGCAGAGATCCATGGTTGAAGAACCATCAGACGCTGGCCTCACATTGCCAGAAGGTTGAACCACTTGGCTTTCACTGAATGTCCCCCACAACTCTTTCAGGTTCTCATCATGGCCATCCATAGATGAGTAGATAGTATCCCTAACAGGAGTTCCATGAGGGTGTACAGGGCTTTGTACATTTGCAGTGTTCTTAACAGCTTCCTTTCCAGGGACATCAGAACCTTTTGAAGGCTTTGCAGTTTTGCTGCCTAATGTTTCAGTTATCTGGTCACAGTTGAGAGGAGAAGGACCAAAGTATTTGACAGAGAGGGGTAACCTGCTCTTTGCCACCTTTGGCCCATTTTCCAAAATACACATCTGGCCAGGAGAGCGCCTGAGATGTTTGCTGGTCTCTGGTTTCATCATCAGATGAGGATCATCAGACATACTAGTTTGGAAGCTGCACCTCTTTGAAACAGGCACTTTAATAGACACAGTTTTCTCCTGTTCACTTTGTTCTGTCCTATCTACAAGTACTTTCCTTTTCAGTGGCGGAAACAGAGATTGTGTGACAGTTTTGCTCATCCATTCCATTCTTGGTTGCACATTTTCATCTAAAAAACGGGTTGGTGCTCTATCATTCTTTTCAAGAGAAATAGGAGAGAGATTAGAGACATGCAAGCTTCGTTCAGACACCTGAGATGTTGCATTCATTCTTGGGCGGTCTGTGATTTGAGTACTGTTCAGCAGGAGTCTGCAAGATGTTTGGCTGGCTTCTGGTGTAAAAGGCATCGTATCTTCAGGATTCAAACCAAAGCTGCTCATTTCAGCATTAGTAAGTACCTTGATACTGTGGTGTCCTGGAGATTGAGTACCTAGGGTAGAATGAAGTTTCACTGGGGAAAGAACCTGGGGTAGGCTTCCTTTAGACTTCAGTTGAGAAGGAGCTGCTGCGCTGCTCATTTTTCCAATTCTGTTCTGCAAGAAGAAGAGTCATAGCAGATTAGAAAGCCACCTGTAACCCTGGCAACTCCATATGATTCCCTAGACACTTTTTTTTAAGTTACTTGTAAGTTTGACAAAGACTACTGAGGAGGGGTGAAAGAGCAGTTTTTGCTTTACAGTTCAGAACCTGAGTTGGCAACTATATGCTGGCAAACAAGGCATCTTCTATTAATCTCACACACACAAAATACTGCTTCAGGAGGTGCACAATTTTAAAAAAGTTCTTCCTCCCCACCACTAACAGATGTGCGTTGGCAAGCCCTAGAGTGCCAAGTATTAACAAGCACTTCAGTGAGTTTTGAAGTCTCAAATTCTTATTGGTGTCAATGGCAGTTAGGTGCCTAGGCAGTTCTGAAAATCTCTACAGGCCCATTCTCCACACAGTCCTTTCTTGAAGCCTATAGAGTTTCATTCCTTTTATCAATCAGTGGGCTGGAAGAGTAGATAGACTGGAGGATTCATTATAGTTCATATGGACCAGCCTTCACTACTTCACGTTATGCAGACATCATTCGTAACTGCATCTTTGCTCACCCAAGAGTGTGGCCTGGAGACCATTGGCCAGATAACACACATCTCCTAGGGTAATATTTATAAGAAGGGTCTCTCTTGTAATACGCCTCACAAAATGCAGTGAACAAGCCTTTCAGCTAAAACTAATCTTCCAAAAACTCACAAGAGGCATTACTGAATCCAGGCTCTTTTCCTCAAAGAAAGAAAGAAGAAAAGTATGGGAGTGCCAGAACAAAGCTTCTAAAAGCAGCATTCTGACTCTCATCTGTGTAAGGTTTTAGAAGTACAGATAGACCTCAGTATTTCAGCTTGTTGGTCTTCTGGCCATTTTGCTAAGATGCTTTCTTAATTCCAGGCTTTTGAGGCATGAGAAGATGAACTAAGAGGTGAGATTTGTGCATTGAGGGATAAGATCTATGGCTGAAATGGATTTCCCCTTCCTCTTTCCTGGTTTTGGGTGTGTGTGTGTGGAAGAGGATGATTTATGTTTGTTTGTACTAGTAGGGTTGCATTTTCAATATGGCAAAAGCCATATTGAGCCACTGATAGGAACTTCTTTTGTACTGATCTAACTAAAGTCTGATTTTTAGTAGTATCAGTCACCCAAAGCCCTCAAGGTGTTTTATAAGGGCCGTTAGTGGTGTCCCACAACCCTAAAGTCAGGTAAAATTGCATGACTCATTTAAAATATGGGGGAACTAAGGCAGAGAAAGGTAACAAGACACTCTAAGGTAACACAGACACTAGCAAAATCTTGACTAGAATCTAGATTCTATATTTCCTGATCTAGCAGGAGAGGCAAACTAAGTTTTTTCACAACTCTCTCTCTCTCCCCCCCCCCCCCCCGCCACTAGTTTAGGTCATGCAGATATTTCCTATAGCTTCAGATTAGAACAATGCCAGCATTTGTATTCCCTAGGGTTCAAGTGTGCCTCTAGCTTCAGAACATGGACTAATGCATTCCTCTTTGCTTCCTCTCTCTGGTCCCTCTGTCACCTTTAATAGATTTCTTGGGGAACCAATGATTTGTTCTTAACTCCAGCTTCACATTAGAAGTTCAATTCCTACAGGACTAGGTGGTCAGTCAGTAGGTGCTCAAAGCCCATGGCTGGAGGAAATACTTGGGTTATTCAGACCCACTCAGTAAAAGTCTGTTCATCCAATTATAGGCAGTACTCTGCGTGCTGCAGTCAAGCCCCGGGCCATTTGTTTGAAGACCTTCCTCTGGACACACTCTAAGTAAGCAAACTTCAGCAATGGCCTGGACTGACATGCAAGATTTATACTTCATTTCCTGCCAAAAGGAGGAACTGTCACTCACGTCTTTGGGTTTGTAAATAAACTCATTTCACATAACAATTCTAGTAATTCATTCTTGATCTAGACATCTCGCTAGGCAGGAGTGATGTAGTGGCGCTCACTACAATCCTCACTTTGTCAGTTCACACACCCAACAAGCCTTTCCCCTCAACAACAGGGGGAAATTGTTTTCTTTTAAGCATGTCTATCATAGTGGGTTACAGACTGATACCAGATCCAAACCTTGTGGAATGGATTTAGTTTTCTAGGAAAGTCAGATCAAGGTTACATTTCTTATGTCCCACCCCCGCTCTCATCTGTTTGAAAGGCGCGTGTGAGTCTCAAACCACCTTCGCATCCCAAACTCCAGGAAAGTACAGGAGCGTCAGTCCTAAATACTATAAAGTGGCAAGTCTCTCCTATGTCGTCAAGAAGACTCACATTTGGACACACTATTCTCTTTTCACTGCTCTACAGAAGCTATGCAGCTGCTACTTTGAACAGGTAGAGACAACATAAAGTGCCTCATCAAATGTTAATAGCCTCATGTGCACAGCTGCATTTAGATGAAGATTAATATTTAAACATTCAACACAGCACAGAGAGCTCTAAACACTTCCTAGCTTAAAGGCCATCTCTTGGCAAGTACTGTTGAAAGAAGAACAATAGTTTTAAAAGCTAAACAGTAAGTTTTCACTCACACTGATTGAGTAAGAAATAGACATTGGGGGAGAGAGGGGAAAAAATAAAAATGGTGGCAACCATTGAAGCAAGAACCACAAGCCTTGGGAGGTATGAGAGGGCACTTGTTGCAGACATAGAAATCAGAGACTTAATCCAGCATCACATTGGCAAACACACAACAGATTGGCCTGTATAACTCATACTCGTGAATACTCGATAGTTTCTATTCTATATGCCTACTACAAATAAAAATTTGAAGTTCACAGGGTTTAGAGTAACACTTGAGGTTTGCAGCACATTCTGAGTGTTAAGTACAAGTACAGCTACCAATGCCCAGCCCATCCAGTTACTTTCCTGATTGAATACCGTTCACCATATAGCAGTTGCAGACTAGCAAAAACAGCTCTGTTAAGTAGCAGACCAATAACCAGCTGGACAAACAAGCTTTGGAACATTATTGAAAAGAAATGCCTTCCAAAGTCACATTAATCTATCAGCTAATGATACTGTCTTCTGTCAAGAGAAAGACATTCTTTTGAGGGAGTTTTGACCAACTGGAATATTTTGTTTCACACAGAGCTAAAATGAGCTCAATAGGGCAGAAATATCTAGCCACGAACACTAGTGCATAGCTCACATAGGATAGGAATATCATGTACATTTTCTCTAATCAGGTCTCGTTGCCAGGAAGCATTTCTCCCAAACACTTACACAGAAGTTAATTGAATTTAACAAATGAGAACAGTTACCTATAGGACAACATGATAAAAATCATAACCTGGAAAAACAAGACCAAGCTCTACCCACCAAATAACAGCCTCAGCATTCCACAATTTTCTACCTCTCATTGCTAACAAACACCCAGCAACTCCAGTAAAGAAAACCATACAGGGACAACAACAACTATGTAAATTAACAGATGGGGATAGTATTTTATCTACCCCACTATAGTCTCACAAACTGCTCTACCATCTCTCCTCTTCAAAAGGCCTTTGGAGGCTATTTTGCTTGATATATTCCAGCTGGATTAATAACCGCAGCTGCTCTCTCCCAAACCAACAACAGTATCAGAAATTCAACAGCGGTGATTGGTTAAAGCAGCATCAGACAAGTAATCATTAGGATAGAGTTAATTTCCTGGAAGTCTTAAGCCTTGATTCAGCAAAGACTTGCTTAACTTTATGCACTGAGTAGTTACCTTGACTTCAATTAGACGATTCACAGTGTGTATGCAAGTTTTTGCAGGATCAGGATCTAACACTTAATCAAGTTTACTCTACTCAATGGTTTTCATGTGCCTATGCTATTTGCTCTCATTTTACAGGTTGGACTGACCGTCTCTAGAAGCATCTCCATAGCCCCCTTTGATCACTTGTTTCCCTTTACAATTTCAAATTTCTCTCTTGGTTTTACCTGTGGCTTTTCCTGTATTTTGTTTTAATATGGGTGAGGATTTTTAAATGTATAGCTCCCTTCTCCTTTTCTGTATAAATAGGAAGCTAGGACATAGGGCTGGAAGGGACCTCTTGGGTCATCCAGTCCAGTTCTCTGCTACTGCAGGCAACCCCGTCATATAATCCCACTCATAAATTTATCAGATTTAACGATGCAGACACAGTTGTTTTCCTCCCCACCTTGGAAGTGGCAACTGGTGGCTGCTGAGGCCAGACCTCCAGTAGTTTAGTCTTTACCAAAGTGAGAGGCAGGTGAGAGTGGGTGAAAGACAGGATCAGATGATGGTGAGAAGCAGGGGATAGCAGGATGAGGCAAGAAATGGTGAACAAAATCCTTTTTTTGGAGGTATATTCAAATAAACCAGACATAGGCGATGGGTATAACAGGCCAGGGGAGGCTAAGCCTCCCCAAACAGCCTGCCCGCCACCTTTGGAGTGCACTGCTATCAAAAGGGTGGGTGCCCTGCCTGCGCTCCACCCCCAGGCCCCACTCCCACTCATCCTCTTCCCCCAAGGCTCCGCTTCTTCCCATCCCCGCTCCATCCGCATGGGAGGCGCACATGAGAGGTGAGTAGCCAGCTGGCCGGCCAATGGGAGGGCGGGGTGGAGCATCGGCAGGGCTTCTGCGGGAGGAGGCTAAGTGGGGGCAGGCCTCGGGGGGAGGTCACAGTCCGGGTGTGCGCAGCCTCCCCAAATGGTGGAGTCACGCACCACCCATGAAACCGGATTAATGATGCACATCCACAATTCATGAACATTGTGCTGCCTTGTCTTTTAAAACAACGTTTCTTTTGGTATACCTCCAGAAGCACCCTTCTTTTGTCCCTTTACTTCGGTTCCCTCACTGTGAAAGGCCTTACATGGTGGTGGCCAACCCTTTGCTACTGGATCTATCTTTCACTCTGAAACCTTCAACTCTCCACCCATTTAGAGCAGAATGCACTGGGCACACAGAGCTCCACATAGATAACCTACGATCCTTCACACTTGATCCTGCTCCCAACTCAATAGGACCAGGCTCCATGGTAAGGTTTACAACTTCAGCAAGTTAGGTCCCAATCCTGACAATGCTTATGCATGTACTTAATTTTTCTACCATAAACAATCCCATTGATTTTAAAGAGACTACTCATGGTAGTGAAGCTAAGCACATGCAGGAATCAGGGTCTTAGCCTGTAGCATACGACACCTATAGTCAGGCATACACCTCAGCTGACAACATTTCTTCAGAACATGTCTTATTATCATCCATAGTTGTTGGTTTGTTTTTAGAGCTGGGAGAATAATTCATGAATAATGTATTCAATAACTTTCACCTTTACAGTAACTCCTCGCTTAACGTTGTAGTTATGTTCCTGAAAAATGCGACTTTAAGCGAAATTATGTTAAGCGAATCCAATTTCCCCATAAGAATTAATGTAAATGGGGGTTAAGTTCCAGGGAAATTTTTTTCACCAGACAAGAAACTATATAGTATATAGATATACACACAGTATATGTTTTAAACAAACAATTTAATACTGTTCACAGCTATGATGATTGTGAAGCTTGGTTGAGGTGGTGAAGTTAGAGGGTGGAAGAGGGTGGGATATTTCCCAGGGAATGCCTTATTGCTAAATGATGAACTAGCACTCAGCTGAGCCCTCAAGGGTTAACACATTGTTGCAAATGTAGCCTCTCATCAAGGCAGCACAAACAGGAGGGAGGGGAGACAGCATAGCAGACAGAGACAGACACACACCTTGTGTGTGGGAGAGAGAGCGCGAGATGCACACTGCCCCTTTAAGTAAGCTGACCCACTCTTAAATGCACTGTCTCTTAAAGTGGATCAGGAAGTTGAGACAGCAGCTGCTGCCCTAAGCTCTCTCCATTTGTGTCCCCTCCCTGCTCTATATGGAGAAGGGGTAAGTGGGGTGCAGGAGTAGGGGGACACCCTGACATTAGACCTCCTTTCCCCCTGCACAGCAAGCAGGAGTCTCTGAGAGCAGCTCCAAGGCAGAGGGCAGGAGCAGCACATGGCAGTGGGGGGAGGGATAGCTGAACTGCCGATTGATAGCCTGCTGGGCAGCTGCAGAACAGGGAACTTAGGGGAGCTGATGGGGGGCTGCTGGTCCATCCTGGTTCCAAGCCCCCACCAGCTAGCTCCAACAGGCTGCTCTTCCTGAAAGCAGTGGACAAAGCAGGCGGCTGCCAAACGACATTAGAAGGGAGCATTGCACAACTTTAAATGAGCATGTTCCCTAATTGATCAGCAACATAACAACGAAACGTTAACCAGGACAACTTTAAGTGAGGCGTTACTGTACTCCCTTCTAGCTCCCCCCCTCCATTGTCCATGAACAGACTGTGTGTCTCAAATGTACGTATTTGAAATTATTCATGGAATAATTTCTGTGCATCACTGTTGGTCTGCAGCTCATTTGAGAGTATTTCACGGGGACTATTTGATATTCAAAACATGAGAGGTTTTGATTGGTTAATCAAGCCACATGAGCGGCGTCTGTTTCCTTCATCATCATCCTCATCTTCCCATGACGCCTCTGGCATTTAGGGCAGTGACGAAGCTCTTCCCCCCCCCCGTCTGTTTCTGACAAGTCTTTCAATGGTTCCCCGGCTCTGCCCCAGGTTTTTCAGCTCGGTTTCCTTAATGGATGAGCGTAATTCCTAGACTCCGGAGTGTGGGCAGAATGACATTATTACAGGACAAACGTGTGTCCTCCTGCAATAGCTGCTTAAACTGGCTGTTTCTGTGACTATTCCTGGGCCCGCCCTTACGAGGGTATTTGTACACAGTGAATATGAACGAGGCGAAGGAAACCGGTTTACAAATCACAGCCAGTTCATGGACACCAGTTGCCGTCCCCCAGCCCCGCCGCTCGGCGCTGAACTCAGCTCAGAGCCAGAGGCCCCGGAGCCCGGACTGACGCTGCAGCGCCGCCAGCTCGCACGATGCTGTCCCGAGTCTCACGGTCACGGTTCTCCCCTCAGCCTCCAAGGGGAAGACGGTTTCTAGCCCTCGCGGCTGAGGAGAAAACGTCCGGGGGGGGGGGACCCCGCGGCGCCTGCGCGCTCGACAGGCAGCAGCCACCTAGCCCCCCCCGGCCCGGCGTGTACAGCCCGGCTCGCGCTGCCCGAACGGCCCGGCCCCAGGGCGGGACTAGAGCCCGGGCGCCAAGGTTCCGAGTCTGCTGCAGGCTCGGAGCGGGGCACGGGGAGCGGGGCACTGGGGGAGGGGACTGCCGGGAGCCCTTCCGGGTCAGGGGGCGGGGCTCTCCCAGGCGCGAGGGAGGGGCGAGGCGGTGACCCGGAAGCGTTCCGCGTCCTGCGCTCGCTGAGTCACGCAGCGGCGCCCCGGCAGCACCACCCGGCGGGAAGATGGCGGCGGTGTCTGTGCTCCAGGCTCCGAGCAGCGGCTTCGGCTTCGAGAACTGCGCCCGGTGAGGGCCGGGGCCAGACCGGGGCCGGGCCTGGGACCGGGGCGATTAGAGGGGGGAGCGGGCCGGCGCCGTGACTCAGGGGAAGCCGCGCAGGGAGCCCGGCCTGCGGAGCCTGAGCGGTGGGGCAGCCCCGCCTGGCACAGCTGAGGGGGGCGTATCGTCCCCCACATCCAGGGGGCTCAGCCTGGGTCGGGGTCGGGGCCAGGCTAGCAGGGGAGTGGGGTTGGTGCTGTGGGGGGTGGGGCTAGGCTAGCAGGGGGCGTAGTCGGCGGGGGCCAGACTGGGGCGGGGCCGGTCTTGCGCGGGGGGGGGGTTGGGTATGGGGCAGTTCAGCCGACTGGTGAGGGAGGTGTAGGAAGAAGATGAAAGCTTTGCTGGTGAAGGTGCCATATGTCCTTAGTCTCCCTTTTGTTCCTCCCGTTGTTCCAGGAATGCACTCCTAGAGGCAGAGTTGACTAAGAAGGGGCTTCGGCTCCCTGCAGCCCGGAAGACAGGCACCACCATTGCTGGAGTTGTGTTCAAGGTGAGGTTAGGTTGCTCATTGACCTCGCTCCCTATGGCACATGGTCCTTGGGCACCCGCCACTGTACTATCAGAGTATAACGCAGAGCAGCTAAGAGTCACAGGAAGATATTTATAATGGACTCAGGTCTTCACCTCTTCCAGGGTTAGCAGCTGTTGCATAAGGGGTTTTTGCCCTCAGTGAATGTGGGGAGACTTCTGCTTTGTGTGTTTCTGCCAATTTTGTTTGTTGACCCACGTAAGTTCTTTATGGGGCTGTGGAGTGAATACACCACGAGAGAGCGGCATTCTATTTTCCCTTGCTGTTTATCAGGAGAACAGTCAGCTAAATCTCCTTTGCAGAATCTTCAATTCTGCTGATTAAGAAAAACAGAATTATGTCCCAGATGGCCTGTACAGTTCTCATGCTTAGGAATAATCATGCATTAAACTGTAAATAGAGCATATTTTATCTGGAAGTTAGAGATAAAATGTAATTTTTAGTCTCTTGTGTCACTGCACTTTAAAACCCACACTCCACACTCTTGCTGTGGCAACAGGTGGCCTGTAATCTGGGTTGGCTGTTCCTTCAGGTGGCAAGAGATACTGTGGTGATGCACACAATATGAAAACTAGTTGGAAAATAACATGAAATCTTACCTCTTCCAGTAAGGTCCTCTAGCCAGAGTCACCTCACTGGAAAGTGCCAAAAGTGTCTTCCTCAGCTGAACACTACATTCAGTCCGCTGCTGACTTACTCTGTCAGCTCTCTTCACTCAGAAGCTCTGTTTAGTATGCTTGCCCTTTCCTGTTACATTGCTGTATATTTGATGGTGACAGAGCCTTTTTGGTGCTACGGGAACTTGTGTCAATTACAAATTCTTCTACAGCCCAGTATTTACCCTTTTGTCTCTCTCTGAGGGTACATTATTATTGTGAGAATTGCAGGCAGTGACAGTGCTCATTGCCATTGCATGTTACAGACTACTGTAACATGAGCAGTAAAATAATGTTAAATCTTATAAAAGTTTTGATCCTAAGTATCTCACCTTTTCTGTAGGATGGTATAGTCCTTGGAGCAGATACAAGAGCAACTGAGGGGATGGTTGTTGCTGACAAGAACTGTTCAAAAATACACTTCATTTCTCCTAATATCTAGTAAGTATTAAAACTGTCAGTTTTACAGTAAGTAAAGTTTAAGTGTAAGTTTAGTGTTGATTCTTGTAAACTGTACGCCTTATTGCTAATACCTCAGATTAAAAATGAGAACTTTAAAATGGTAGTTAATTTCACCAGTAATGCAGTTTGTTTCCTTTTGGTAGTCATTCATGCCAGACAATGAAAATAGGTTAGCTAGTTTCATGTTTAGTATCTTGTCAATTTAATTTTTTCTCCTGCACCAGCATAAGACTGTAATGCTTGGGTTGAAAAAACACTGCAGGAGTGTATCTAAATATGAAGCAGTGAAACAGCCTACCCTCCAGTTGCTATTGGAAATACTTCTTTCTGTCAAAGAAAATGCCTATTACCTCTGAATGTGTGTGAGTGGTCTTTGTATACTAAAAGGGTCAGGAAACTATAACAGTTACGTAAATTTGATTAAATCAAAGCAAACTAGGGGAGGAGACAATGAAAATCTAACATTAAATAAAGTAATCATAATTTTATCTGTCTGAATAGCTGGTATCCACCTATTTTACACTTCATGGTAGGTTAGAGTCAGTTCCACTTTTAGCGACTAAAAGAAGAGGGACATTCATTAAATACAATGTTTAAGAGTTTTTAACTTGGTAACTTACCAAAAATGTTTTCCAGTTGTTGTGGTGCTGGAACAGCTGCAGACACTGACATGACAACTCAGCTGATCTCTTCCAATCTGGAGCTCCATTCCTTGTCTACTGGACGGCTTCCGAGAGTTGTCACAGCTAACCGAATGCTCAAACAGATGCTTTTCAGGTAACTCCATGAATTCACTCTTACATTTTTTAAATGTTGGTACTGGATAAAGCTTCAGTTTGAGAAATGGATAACTGGAAGATACATTTTTAACTTAAAGGAATGTGATTAATGAACACAACCTCCTTCAGGGTAAACTACAGAAATACATTTTACAGCCTTTGTAGCCAAGGCAGAGTTACCTAAGTGTATTTTCACTATTTACTTTCAGATTTATAACCAGCTAAAAAGTGAAGCCAATGCTATCAGATTGAGAATTTTACTAAAGCTGGAAATTTTACTTTTAACTCCAGGGCAGCTGGGCAGCTTTCTGTAGTTTCGATCTTTAAGTGAATATCAGTGTTTGTGTTTTTTTACAGAGATATTAACAGTACTGCAAATTTCTTGCAGACACTGACCCGAAGTCAGAAAGTATATAAATATTTATCATAAAACTGCCATGCACTTTTGTTCATTTTGCTTTGTCAGACGGAAGCAAAGAAACAATGAGTTATCTTTCCATTTTGTTCACTATATGTGGTAAATTTAA